TGTTTGAAAGGAGAGAGGCATTTTGCTGAAAGTGAGGTAATTGAAAATTTTCATATGACAGCTTTTATTTATAAAAATTTAAAAGTGATATTTTTAGTGCTTCAGTCTTTGGTATGTTATGTACATCTATGCTACTAAAAATGGGGACTATGTAAAATACGATCTACAGGGTCTGGTTTGTGCTTTCTTTAAATCCAGAAATGCAATTATGTTTCATGAAATTGTGTAAGATGAGAAACAACGTCAGTATTTAATATTTTTCATTTTTATGTTATAAAAGATAATAAGATTGTAGATTACACAAAAAACAGCTATCACCTAAATACTTCGCTTTATATAAAAAAATTATCTGTATTCATTGGAAAAATCAAAATACGGTACATGAAAAAGTTATGTACATCTTTGAACATAATTAAGTTCTGCTGGATTTTAGGTAAATGATGAAGTCTAATTTGTAATAGCTGATGAAAGCAAAGTACTGATCTTTCAAGTTTAAAAGGCAATTTATAAATTGCTGTTACTTGTTAATTTGAAGACAGTTATCAGTCTTTTGAAGCTGGCTCATGGCTTAAAGGTGACTTGCATATTAAAGCATGCAGACATTTGTAGCAAATTCAAATAGTTGAAATTTCAGAATGACAGCTATTCTTTCTTATTACCTAAGACAGTCTGAAGTGATGGGCAGATTTATGCAAACACGTTAGCTTACTGGAGAGCTCCTGAAGATGGGGTCTTTTGCTCTACATAAATATCCTTTATTGTAGTCAGCTGAGCTTGTTGCCTGCTTACTGCATTCTTGGGAAGATTCAGTTACCTTCTAGAATCCTAAGTCAGGATTGAACACATGTTAAGAAGAGGGCTCAATTAGATGCCTAAATCTGGATTCGGATATAAATGCCATAATTTTGAAGATTGTGTTGTTCCTTCCATTAGCTCTTTGTTATTAATGATCATCACTCCTGAAAATTAGATTGCTTCTGTTGCATAAATATTATTTTAATATGCTTTCAGGAGTGTTACTTTAGAGCAGGTTGAAAATTTTACTCTAAAGATACTGCTTTGTGAGCTGTTTGGCTGAATGAGAGTAATTTCAGATTATTTTGTCAGATTCAAAGGAAATGTACATTCAGGTGACTCCTACTTTCAAAGTCCTAGCTTTCAAAGTCTTGCCAAAAGTCACAGATACACAATTCGTTGTCACCAGTTCTCAATGAAACACGTTGTACATGTCTAATTACCTCATGATTGCATAGCTGCTCAGCAGGGAAAATTGCATCTGCAGTTTAGTTTGTAACTAGAGCAGTGCCACATGACTGTCTTGTTCTGATGTTGCTTTAGCTTCATGTCGGACTTCCCAAGTGTGTGGGATCTTTCAGGGTGTTCACCACACTCAGAAATAGTCATGCATTTATGCTGATATTTTAAAATCCAGTTTTATTGTCTCTACATCTGGTTCTGTCAGAGACAGAAAAGATTTGGGATTCTTGTTGCTGTTTCGTGTTTTACAATTCGTACACGACTCAGAAGTGCAATTCGGAGGATCGTGTTTGCTTTGGAAGGCTTCATGGCTTCTTCCAAAGAAAAAGAATAAGTGCCAAAAAAACCCTCCTGTGTACCAGGAGCCTTCAAATCTGGAATGGTTATCATATAAACGGATGACAGCAGTCTTCGGGGAAGAAGACACTACATGTCCCATGAAGTCCTTCTTTTGATGCTTTAGTATTCTCCTTGAATGGTGAAAAATTCTTTCTTTCTCTCCCTCTCATTTTGTTTTTGATACTAATATAGCATCAGTTAGCACCCTTGCAATTATCGATATAGCAGCCACTTTAAAATGGTTCTAGAATCTTTCCCATATCAAATTATTAATTACTAACAAAAATACAGTTAACTTTCATGATTGCTGCTATTGAGTTATCTTGCAGTTTCATTTCGTATGGGACCTTTGTTCACTTTTAGGTAAGATAACTGGGTGTTTAGCCTGATGGTAGGACAGGAAGAATATTCATCCAGTAGACTTAAGTATCCTAGGTCACCAGAATACTTGATACGTAGTCCCCTGTGTTTGAGTGGTCCAAAGGCAGGATTTCTGGGAAGAGTTGTCTGTGTACGTTGGACAAAAGTTAATTATTTACAGGTGGGGAAAAAGTGTTGGGGAAGGAAAAAAGGCAAACCAATTTAAACACGTTAGTGTTTAAAATTAAACTGTTGATGTCTGTAATGTACTTCTGTAAGTCTTTGTAGTGACAAAGTCTCTCTATTGACAAAAATTACTTTAACCAGGCCATACAAACATACAGTTCGGAGAATAACTTAAGCCATTTCTTCAATATATGAATGTATATGTATTTTTTAATTTCAACAGACATTAGACCAGCTTCCACTCACAAATCCTGAACACTTTGGGACTCCTGTTATAGGAAAGAAAACAAACAGAGGAAGGAGATCTAATCATATGTAAGTTTAAGATCTTTATATCTATGCTGTCTGTATTCAGTTCTGAAACTCTCAGTGTGTGTGAAGTTCTGCTAGTTGTGTGTTCAGTCTTCTCATTCAAAAAAAACAGGAATCTGTATGAAAACTGTTGTCTAGCACTCAGACTGAAAGTCAGTTGTCTGTGTATTGTTGCATGCAGGAATTACCACAAGTCTTCTTGTAATAAGCATTTAAAACAGTACTGGGTATAGGCAAGAGGTTTTTTGTCAGTTTCATTGATATGCTACTTTCTTTTTTACTTAACTAAGTGGAAATGTGTTTTTAAGTTATATTCAGAAGCTTCTCTGTAGTAGAATATTAGTACTATAAATGTGTTGGACTCAAACTAAAACTATTACAATTCAGTCTTTGTCCAGCTGATATGATGCACATGTTGGTTTCTCATTATAAAGTCTCTGAAGGGCTTTTAGAAATAAGTGAACAGTATTATGGTTTGCAGCACAGCTTATTGATAGAAAAACAAAGTTCAAGAGTAGTGACTTGATTTTCTAGGTGCCAAAAATCTTGGTAGCTGTGATCTTGAAAAAACAGTGTTAAAATGCTCTGACTAGTCTTCTTTGTTGCTTGTGAGTGGGGTTTTTTTGGTGGTGTTTTTTGTTTGGGTTTTTGGGTTTTGGTTTTAGTTTTTTAAGGTGATAGTGGCTGGAGTGGGAAGGGAGTTTTTATGTTTGGATTACCTTTTCATGCTCTGTCTTTCTGGTAGCTTGAAATAAATATTGTATGTAGAGGTACTATAAATTTACTCAATTATTGATTTACTAATTTGTGATGAATAGAAGGAAAAAGCTGACATACACCACAAAGAATGCAATTGTAGCATCCGTGGTGTCTGACTGTGTTGCTGTTTTCTCTGTTTCCCTAACTGTACAGGACAGTGTTAGGGCAGGAACAACACACCTATCTTTGTCTTTTGATTAATACTGACTGAATTGAGTAGAAAGGTAAATTGCACAGATATTGATATAACTGATCTAAGTTGTAGTATCTCTAAAATAGTCCTGGTTTTCTCTCTAGCCCCCAACTTCTTTCTCTTCCCACATGAGCTTCTCAAACCTCAGAAAGCAGCCTGAAAGATGTCTGTACTGTCTTTTAAAAGAAATCACTACTTCAAAAATTGTGTTGGGGGAAAAAAAAACCCAATCCTTTCTCAGTACTGCAAATGAAGACATAAAATGAGGATGGGGAAAATGAAACAGTAATACACCTTGGACTGTAAATCAGTTGTCTTCTGTTACACTGTTAGTATCTAATCTACTATTAATATTGAACTTTGAACTTTATTCTAGACTCAAAAGTAGTTGTGTGGAAAATGGAAGATAGATTTTTAAATTCTGCTTGTTGTGCTCATTGAACACAGTTTTTTGAGAATTAACCTTCAAATTGACTAATGAAAAAAAGAGACAGCAGTGCTGATTTTTTAATGTTCATTTTGTTTTCAGTCAGTTGCAGGTGAATTTAGTTGGAGTAGTTTTGCACATTTAGACTCACCATATTGCTAAAAACCATTGTAACTTTGTACTGGAACAGTCAAAACAATGAGCCCGAACATTTTTAAATCAAAATGTGTTTGCACTTTTACCCATCTGCTTACATTCCAACACTTTATTTCCGTGTGAAATTGAAACAGTCATTGAAAAGCTTCACTGCACATCTTTAAAAAAGTGTTTCAGGATAAACAGACTTCTTTTTCTCTTTGATATTCATCTTTATAACTGATGTTTCTTCTTCAAAGCTTTGTCCCCTCTCAAAATAGCTTTTCATTCTGTATAGCTGTTATAGTAAAATTAGAGATTGAGGGAAAAAAAAATGTTTTAGCTTAATATTGGTATAAAATAAGTTCAACGGTATTTTTTAGCCCTGCTCGCTAGGGCAGAATTCTCATTTTGAGTGTCCTGACAATGTATTTGTATTCCTCCATGTGGATGCATGGTGGTGTTTTGTTTGGGCTTTGCATGTATCACATGTAGAATGTAGATACACATTGCTGAGTTAGTAATACTTGAATTGTTGCTATAATGCACTTGTAAAAACTTTGATTCATTTTTATCCGAAAGCACTCAACAGGCAATTGAAGTCACTATTATTTATGCCTCTTTGACAATTACCTTTGGATCTCCTGTAAATACAATAGGCAAGTTTTGAATAGTTGAGCTTTAAGTCTTTTTCTGTTGTTTAGTCCTGAAGAAGAATCTTCATCCTCTTCCAGTGACGAAGATGAAGATGATAGGAAACAAAGTGATGAGTTACTAGGAAAAGTTGTTTGTGTGGACTGCTTCAGTGTAGATAAGAAGAAGGCTCTATGGTTTCCAGCCTTGGTAAGAGCTTCACCTTTATTTTAATTTTGTAAAGTTTCATTCATTTTCTAGGTACCAAAGAAACGTGTTTATTTGTTTGTGTGGGTTTTTTTGTTTGGTGTTTTTTTTTTTTTCTTCATTTTTGATGGTTTAATCTGTATTTTTATTAGAACTTATGTTTCTTCAAATTAGACTGTATTGTAATAGTCAAAGGAAATATTATATATGTAAATGTATTTGTTTCAAAAAGTGCTTGGTAACATGGCTTTAGTTTTTCCAAAGAGCCAGAGCTTGTCAACCTAATTCCAACTCAACAGTGTGTTTAGTACTATTGAACTAAAATTTCAGGGCTTTTTCCACAGACCATTGCGTATTGTTTTTCTGAACTGCCAAGTTTTACCAAGGAGGTGCAAAGAGAAGGGAATTTTAGTGATTAAATAGCTCTTTTTCTAGGTTCAATATAAACACATTTCATAATAAAATGGGGGGAGGGGGGTGTTGTTGCTATGGTAGGTAATAGAGAATTGCCAATAAATTTCCTTTAAAATTACATTGTAGTCTTAGTACAAGTATTTTGTCTCTTCTTCATTCTGGTTCCCACTGCAGCCTCTCTGGTAGGTGTTGGGCTTGGATGTGGCTGATGTAGGGCTACTCAGGATAGCCATGGGTCCGGCTTTTAAAGATGAACTCTGAAACGTTGCTTGAGCTCCCAGGATATACTAAAGATACACAGCTGCAAGTCTGTGACTTCCATTTGAAGCTTGGAATGGCTCATTCTTCATGGAAAGCTTCCTGCAGTGAATGAGAAGCAGTAGGAGGATAAAGTTTGAGGGTGGAGCTCGTTAACTCTGAAATAGCTTATCCTAGATTAACTGTTATTTTAGTAATCAGGTTTATAGCTTTGCAAATAAACATCATATTACATTTAACATGAAGGATTGTGCCAAAGAATAGATTTATGCCCTAAATAGCTGGCTTTTTTTTTTTTTTTTTTTTTAAAATTCCCTCCTCTGTAGCTATCCCCCTTCATTCTTTTACCTTGTAAGCAGGTTGCCTCTACTATATAAACCAAGTCATTTTATCTTACTACTGATAAACTTTGCTTTAACTTTATAGTATGCTAATTGTAATCATGTGAATAACGAAATGAAAATTCATGTTTAGTATGCTGAAGAAGACGTATCCCAGAATTACTTTATTATTAATGATACTGTATACAGATACACTATGTATAAGCACAAGGGACAGTTAAGTTTATTATGTGAAAACAAGTTCAGTGATTAGTCTAAACCTTTACAATAAATAACAGTTAAGATTAGCAGTGGAAACTGTTTACTTTCAATATTAGTCCTATAACCAGATTGACCTCTACAGCTTTATAAATGACACACTAAATTTGTAAAAGTTACTATGAGGACTCAGTGATTGACTACATTGTCTTAATCCTGAGTGCATGGGGTTTTTTGTTGGGGGTTTTGTTTGGATTTTTTTTTTCTTTTTTTTTTTTTTCTCCCTTTGGGGGGTGGTGAGGTTTGAGAGCAATGGCTAATTGTAGTTGTAAAATGTCCTGACGGTTGTCAGAGCATGATTTAGTAAGACTTACAGCATTCTTTAGTTTTAACGGGTACTTAGGCTTTTGGAAGGTGCTGTGAGGAAACCTGCCAACAGCATTTTAAAAAAATTGAGTTTATGTAGTATCATCTCCCCCATCCTCCTTCAAGGAAATCAAGAAAACTTGTTTCAGGCAAAACTGAGATGTTGGTTGATGCAAAGGCACTAGATGAGATTGGGGTAAGCTGGTTTCCAACCTCTGAATGGATTTCTGACTACTAAGACCTTGATGCTTTTAGAAAACCAGTAGCTAAAGCCGGAAGGGTGTTTTTCCATCTTTAGAGAGCTAGGAGATTGCACCTGTCTGTTTCAAGATGGGTGTGATAATCACTGTCTTTTACCTTGATATTAAAATACTATTGCAAACTGTATCTCAAACTGCATTTCAGTTCGTAGGTTGTAGTTTTATCAAGTAATTTCTCTGGAGACTAGAATGCATTGAATTTGGAGACTTGGGCTGTTAATATTTATTTTTCTTGAGAAGCATATTTAGCCTATGCTGTATGGTATGCAACTCTTTTTCCAAATCAGTTGGAAACACTTGACCTTGCCACTTTACTTTTGACTTTATCTTCTGAAATGCTGTATGGCTGGTGGTCTGTGTGAGGAGGAAAAATAACCTTTTGTCATGTGTCTTTGTGCGTTCGGTGAAAAAAGTAGGACTGATGGCAGTTGGTGTTAAGACAGGAGATATCTCCCAGGGCTAAATTGGGGTTTTGTAGCGGTCAGAATTTTCTTAACTTTGAGAGAACTACGCACATTTTGAGCAAAGAGAGATGAGTGATGGAGGGGACTACATTTCTGTTCTGTAACTCCAGAAATTTTTGGGGTTTAAGTTTTGAAGCTTTTTAATTGGTGACTTGTATGCTGGTTTAACAAAGCTTTAAAAAGCTTTTTAAAATTGCAACAACTAATTATGTTTTCTCAGTGGTAGACTTGATTAATCTGCTTCAATTAAAGAACTTGTCATGATACCTGTACTTGAGGCACTCTTCTAGGTAGATAACTTAGGAATCTACCATTATAAAATTGCTTTTCATAAATCCTGTATGCCTTCTTTTTTTTTTTTTTTCCCCTCTCAAGAAACTGTATGTGCTTACATCCTTTAGAAATGTGATTACATCCTTAGAATTTCTGAAAACTTTTCAGAAGAGGTCTCTAACTCAGGTGTCAGCACTTGGTGGAAGCTCAATACTTTTGGGATGTGGAGTAGACTAAGGTGTAGTGGGATGATGGGTACTTCTGTCAGAATGCTGTTCTTTCTTATACCTCTGGCAGCAGCTGTTAATTCCCTCCAGGAAGCAATCATGAACTCGTGCATGCAGTAATTTCAGGAGGTCGCTCCTGTGTTTTGAATGATCTTAGTTGCTCTCGTCTCAGTGATGCTGAAGAGAAATGATCCCAGAAGGTTTTTGAGAGGCATTGGTATATATATTACTCTTTTGTTTTTCGTTTTTCTCTCTAAAGTTTGCACTTGTAATGTCTTTGCAGGTGGTTTGTCCAGATTGTAGTGATGATATTGCAGTGAAAAAAGACAATATTCTCGTTCGCTCTTTCAAGGATGGCAAATTGTGAGTAGGAATTGTGTGCAGAGGTTGATAATGGAATGAAATCTATACTAGTCAAGTGAAATGTAGTATGAGGTGTGCTGGGTAAAATATTAATAACATTGGTAAGCTCAGTAAGTTTCTGCCAAGAATTTTCTGATGTTTAGAAAACTCTTAACAGCCTGCGTTGTGAGCAAATTAGTCTTGAATTTTGTCATTATTAATAATGGGATGCCTAAATTTATCTGTCTTAGTTTGATTTCATTGTTATAATGGTGGCAAACAAAGCACTGTTTCATGCCTTCAGGAATGGTTTGAGGCTCTTTCCTGCTGTGGTTGGACTAGAGCACTGCTGTTCAGGTGTGGCTGCCTGCTTACCCTGCTACAGAGGGGAGTGGGTGGGGCTGTGCGCGCACACACAGAAACTCCCTTGCTTTTTCTGAGGTACTACGGCATATGTTTATCTCAGTCTAGGCTATAACTGCATCTTATTGTGTTCTTTGAAAAGAGCTGCAAAGCTACTCAAAGTAGGAAAGAAAACAGAGAAACCTAGAAAACCAGACTTTGTGGTATTTGCAATAGAATAAGGAAATTTGTGTTCTTAAACTCACGTTGGTCAGGGAGCAGGGTTGATGGATGACAATAGAATTCTATTTATGGGTTTAAGTTTTTATTTTAAAAGTTGCAGGTGTTTATTGTGCTTGATTCAGTTTAACAGAATACTTCTGCAGGAAGGATGTTAATTACTTACTAAGGCTAGGCTTTTGCTTTACCATTTGATAGTTATTCAGCCATCAATGCACTTCACCTGAGAAACACACAGAAACATGTGCACATACAAACACACATCCCTGCCCTCAAAGCTGCAGCTCAGATTTGCTTCCTTGGATATAGCCACAGCAGAAATTAAAGAGTGCTTTGTTCTTTCAGTTTGGAAGCCTTTCATTTCATACTGACAATTTATACTAATACATATGTTTTAAGCAAGATAGTGTTTTGTTGTTTGTGGGTGAGTAGTTACGTGCTAAGTTAACATGAGATTTTTCTTGAGTAATATGTATTTGAAGATTGTAGAAACCACCTGTTAGTGGAAGAAGAATGCATTCTTTAATATGCGTAGGGATGGTCTAGCCAAATTTATACAGGAGTTTTGATTTTAATCCACTGACTAATACTGTACCTGACTAAAACTATAGAATTGCTGAGATACGCTTCGTATGATGCTTCTGTATGTTTAGTAAGTGTATTACAGGCTTAGTGGTAGCTCTGTATTATATACTGTTAATTTAACTGTAATTTCTGGCTTTTTTTTTTTTTAACACTTTCTAAAACATCTAGTGTTTCTGTGCCAAGAAAGGATGTTCGGGAGATTAGTGAAACTTCACCAAAGCCTGACGCTTTGTTAAAACAAGGTAAAAATAACTTTTTATGAGAACACACGTGTATGTATTTACTTTATGCAAATTGGACCAGATTTATGGTAGATTGGTTCATATCTTAAAAAATCCTAATATACAGGATCTTTTCTTACAGCATAATATATTGCAGGAGAACATATCTGAGGGCGTACATCAAACAAAACCCACTCTGCTGCATTTGTTTTAAATATAGACTTGCCAAACAAGGGATACAATCATACAGCGCATACTGGTGTTTAAAGTTTATTTAGTATTTGGTCTTTTGCATTAGACCTTCCTAGAGTTATTCTCTCACTGTAGTATCCCTAATAGTTAGAAGTAAACTGCTTTTATGCACTTAAATGAACCCAAAATTTCAGTTTCTTTCAAAAGTTTAAGCTTCTGTGATCACACTCTTACAATTAGCTTGTGCTTGTTTCTTCATTCTCCTCCCTGTTCGATGTATATAAACCACAGTGTAAACCTGTTGGAATAGGGGTTCTCTCAATTGGATTTTCATATATGCCCTAGTCCTTATTTGTGTCCGTAGACATTAGCAATGTAATAATCCCAGTAACAGCTCTGAATAATTTCATGTGCAGAGAACACTAGGCCAGTTTGGATAAGACCAACAAGGATGGTCAAGATGGGGTTGTTGTTGAGGTTTTTTTGAATTTGGGGGTGAAATTTTTAATTACTAGTCTTCCCTTTGTCTCCTCTTCTTCCTCCCCCCACCTCAACTCTTTTTTTTTATTAAAACATTTAGTCAAACTGGTAACTTCTGCAGTGCTAACTAATGCTGGTCCTTTTACAGCTTTTGACCAAGCCCTTGAATTCCGTAAAAACAGAACCGTGCCTAATAACTGGAAAACAGAATTAAAAGAAGACAGCTCCAGCAGTGAAGCTGAAGAAGAGGAAGAGGATGAGAAAGAAAAAGAAGATAACAGCAGTGAGGAAGAAGTAAGTAAAAGTGGTGAAGGCCATAGATACACAGCTGCTAAAAATTAGCAAAACTGTAATATTTAAGTAGCTCTTTTTAACATTTGGGAACATATAACATGCAATGTTATTGCCTCAGCTTTTGAAATCTTTTATTCAACAAAGATCAATTTATGTGAAAATACCAACTTGAAAATCTAACAAATATCTTTGAGTCACTAGGCAAAAATCATGTAGTCAAAAGACTGAGTCATTGGGAACTAATGAAAAATAGAAATTAAAACTCAAAGGAAGATCCATGCTGATCTTAACGCAGTGGCAGAAGCAGCTGCTGTACCTACTAGGGACTGAGGAGTATGAAGAACGGTAGCTATTTGTGTCTGCTGTCACAGGGGTGTTGTTTTTTCTAAATGAAAAGAAAGTTGCCTTTACTTGTGTGTGTTTCTAAACAGAACTTACTTGCTAGCTGTTAAAGGTATGCTTGTCTTCTGACTGGGAAGATCTGTGTAGCTAAAATTTAGGTTTCCCGATATGTGATGCTTAAATTGTTTTTGATGACTTGAAAACAAAGATCTCTTTCCGTATGTAAATCAAGACTGACCTTTTCTTTGCACATGGTGTTTCAGTATTGAAGGCAAAGTATTCTTTTTCACTGTTGGATTTGTTAGGGTGGTATTAATTCCTGCACTACAATGTCAGTAATGGCTCAGATGAGTTTCCAGTCTGTAGTTCAGTCTCCCTCCAAAGAACAGTTGTTTGCCCACCTGTAGTAATGCAGTGTGTTGTAGTGTGCAGAAGGGTGTAGTTTCTCTCTGTAGTTTGTCCTGCATCTGCTTGGTTGTATATTATGACTCTGTTGTTTTATTTTTCCCTTTGTGACCACAGAGTGAGTTCTGTGCATGCTAAAATCATGGTAGTGTAAATAGCTGCCCACATAAGTGATGATGAACTTTTCTCATGGCTATAGAACTGGTTCCCCAGTATGTACTTAGCCCACGTTCCAAACAACATGGAAGTCTGCAGCCTTTTGCACTGGAGCTCCATCTGAGGAGGCAGCTCTAAGCTGGTACTGACCTGTATTCTTGAGATATTTGAAAAATAAACCAAATAAGGCTGGCATGGTCCTGCCGGTGTCTCCTCCTCCCTTGCGTCTCTGTCACTATGTCCTCGTCTCCCTTTGACCTTACCCTTTCCTGCCCAAATGTCTGTTAGGCCTACAACTGTTGATCGTCTTATAAAGCAGATATTTCAAGTAGCTTGCACTGTACTTTCCCTGCTTCTAGGTGTAGAAAATGGAGTTTACTGGTTTTAGAGTGGTGAAAAGTAAGACACTTTGAAACCTTTAGGTAATTACCAAGAAATCTGAGTTGTAGCTCTCTTATCCTGGTGTGCTGAAGAATTGTTTCAGTATAAGGTCTCTGGCTACCCAGACGTAAAGAATCAAAAGAACTTTTAATCAAGGCATTGGTCCATGGATTCCTCTTCTTTCTTCTCTCTGTTGTCCTGGAATTATGGAATCCTGCCTTATGCTTGATTTTCTGATTATCTGTTCTTTCCTCCCAGCCTCTGTGCAGAAAAAAAGTGAGGACAACGGGAAAGAAGGAAATTATTGGAAATAACTTTATTTCCTAGCTGGCTGTGAGTCTGGAAGAGGGGCTTTTGAATCTTTTACTTTTTGAATCTTTTACTTCCTCTGTACCTTCCTGTGGTATTCAAAATCTGTATCTGCCCATTATTACCTCTTCTCTCACTAGGGTTTGAGAACTGTTCTCTAATTTGTTATGCAACTGTCAGCAATGCAGTAAACTGAAATTCCCATCAACGGTGGAATTTTAAGGGAGAAACTGAACTGATATGGGTCTTAAATAGTGTTTGTAGCCTTTCTCTCAGTATAGCCTCCCTGGCAATTGTGGCTCTGGCATGCCAGAAGAGAGTGTTTCATCTTCTGTTAATTAATTTCTTTATTTTAAGATTTGTTTGGAGACTGCAAAGGTCTGAAAAGTAAAAGCTTTGTCACCTTCCCATGGTCGTGAGTTCATTCTGCTTCTTTCAGCTCACAGGAGATTACTCAGCTCTGATTGAAAGCAATAAAGCCCAGTTTGCAAGGGGCTGTGGTCTTTCTTAGTATTTTGAGTAGCAAGAAGTCCTTCCTTAGGTTCAGCACAATTTGTGAACCCTGAGAGCAAGTTCATGTGCAGCCATGGACAAGACAAATATAGATAGGTTTATGCCTATGCAGTTTGACACACAATCTTTATATAGTGATCATTCCCTCACTACTTTTAGGTGAAAAATTCAGTCTTTAGCTACAGTGTTCGTCAGTATTTGGCCTTGTACCTTTTGTACACCTTCTCTTCACCTCTCTTTAGTTGCTTGTGATGTTGTTTGAGCTAGTCCATCCACATGCTAGATGTGAAGATCTCATCTCAGACAAATATTTTGGGTTTTACTTTGATTGACATCTCTTGTGATAGTTTCTGTTCCAGTATCCAATCTTTCAGTCACCTGATGAACTAGGCGGTTTCTAAAGCAGAGGCAAATCTTTTTTTTCTTTCTGTTTGTTATTCCTTTTTCTTCTCTCTCCTCAGTGGTCAATGGTATGTGTTCCTTCTCTCCATTCACCTTTGAGCAGTTTCTTCACCCTCCTGATTTATTTATTTATTTAGTAGTTTTATTTTATTAGTTTGTGCCTGTATCCTCCTGGCTATTAAAAACAGGTCCTGCGAGCCTGCTCTTGGGGCCTGCAGCTTTTTCTGGTGCTTTCCAGAACATAAAAAACTCTCACTGGTGACCCTCAGGCCATGTAGTCCCGGTACCCACAAACCAGAACAAAAAGGAAGATAAAATCTCTTAAGTATGTCATCACAGGCTTCTTGTATAGATGCTCCTATCCCATAGACGTAGGAGTTGACATACAAATCCTCTCTATTTCTCTTTTAAGGAGATAAGTTGTCTTCCTCACCCCCCCCCCCCCAAAGGAAGAGACTGTCAACTCTTCTACATACTGTCAGATTTAGTAAAGGAAAGGAAGGCCATTTTACAGAGACCCTTTTCTAGTGCTGGGCTGTAATACTGCTAGGATTCTGTGTGTTGCAAAAAGCATGTTACTGCTTTTCTGGATTTCATTGTCATACACATAAGGCACTTTCTTTTGCCTTTGTGAGGTGGACAGATACAACTAGAGACTGTGGGGTGACCTGCTAGCACTGTGGTTGTCTTAACTTGGAAATAATCAAACATGACAGAGTATTCCATGCCTGCTGCAAAACAGTATCTAGGAAACCTTGTCATCTAACTTCTTGATTATTTAAGAGATTCCATAAATCTTTGGAGATTATTAACATATATCAATATCATCACAGTATAACATGTACTGATTTTGTAGAGATTCTGAGGAAGTGCAAATGCTTTTCAGAGGCATGCAGGATCTTAAGCTTTCCCCCATAACCCACTTTTGTAGGAAGTTGGTTTGATCTCTCTGTCGGGAAAAATAATGAATATCCACTTGGCATTCTGGCACCTCTGGATTATCATGTTTGATATGTCAAAGTACTCTTCAGGCATTGGATCTTATGGTGAGAGAGGTATGGCAGTGTTTTATTCAGCCTCTTCATCACTTTTGCTTTACTTCCTCTAAGATTTTAAATTCATACATTCCTTCTTAAAAACTTGGTTGGGTTTTTTTGAAGGTTCAGTTCAATGATACATCTCTGCCTACACCCACCCCCAAAATGCTCTGTGGAACCATTTTGTTATGGTAAGTCTTCTCTTTAGAGAGGAACATGAGAAGGCCATGTAGGTGCTCATTGTCTCTTTGCCAGTGTACGGTGGTGAAATTTCTTTCCAAGTACTTGTCATGTGAGATCTAAACAAACAAAAGCAAACTTCAAAACTATTGATTCCACGCCAGGCATTTCTCCTCTACATGGGACTGTAATATCACTTCATTCCTATCTGTGGAGAAATGCTAGGTAAGCCCGATTTCTGATGTGCCTCCTCTGTGGGATGTGTCGAGTATACTGGTTGCAGTTCTCTATCCAGCCTGTCCTTCTTGCTTGTTGAAGTAGCCTGCTCTGAGCCCTGCTGGTACACTTGGTGTCAGATAGGTGCTCATCATGTAATGCCCTCACAGAGACTTTCCTCTTGCGTTGCCTTTGCAAGATTGGGAAATAGTTTTGTTGCATTTCTGTTGATAATTACACCTAAGACAACTGTTTCAGCATATTGTGAATGCTGGTTCTTCATGAGGTGGTCAGAGGGGAGAGGTTTACAGTACTGTATTTAACAGTGTAGTAGTGCCTATGTTGTGGATTTCATGTTACTCTGAAAAAAAATACTTTAAAATGCTGCCAGTGTGCTCTGATATGTCCTCCAAGTGCATTGAACGGAGCCAAGGAACTATAGAATAAGAAAAAAGAAATACACGCTGGTAATAGTTACGGTTTATTTATTTTTTCCTGTTGTGTTTAATAATAATACTCTGTTTCCGTTGTTTTCACAATTCTCTTGCTGTAACTTAAAAAAACAGCATGTTTTGTCCCCTTGTTTCAGGGTAGGTGAAGCTTTAATATTTAGTACAAGGAGGCTGTTGAATAGTGGATTCAACAGTTAAATTCAGATAAATGTGGATTGAAAATATACTAAAGAAAAATAATTTCTATTTACTGAATACCTTTTATGAGTTATTTTTTTGAACTTTACAGGTAGTATTAATAATATGCATAAAATTAACATCTATTTAGCATTATTGCTTTGAAGTAGCTTAGTCATCAGAATTTCTAAGAATTTTGATTATATTAATATCTTAGTGCTACCGGTTTTGGCAAGTCAGATTTCCTAAGAAAATTATGAAGTGTTATAAAAGAAGCCGCAGTGCTTTTTTATGAAACTCCCCTGTTCATTACTCTAGGTAAATCTCATAGCACGATTGGTTGGCGCGATGAAGGGAGCATCCAAAACAGCCACTGTTGTGATTCCAGCTGTGGGACTGCTCCTGGGGGCCGCGCCCTCCGCTGCCGTCTGCCAGCGCTGGGGGTCGCAGCTCCTGAGAAAGTGCAAGCACCACGTTGGCTTTCACCTCATCCCCGAGAGTGGCGGTGTGTAGCCAGGCATCACCCAACTGCAGTAGAAATAAGACCTGAGGTTTCTGATACGGTCTCTTAATCGTTAACAGTGGTGTTTTCCAGACTTGCTACGTAAATGCACAAAACTGAGACTACATCTTGATTTATGATACCATGATACTGCAGTGATCAATCAAAAATCCAATTTCAGTATGTTTTTACAGCTTCTGTTTTATATATTCTGAAACCTTTGTAGTTTAAAAATCTTTTCAAGTGGCATGGTGCTGAGAGCATGTATCTTTTTATGTAGCATCCTCTTGCTGACTACAGTAAAACAAACTTGAAAATTTGAACCCAAATTATCACTGCCATGTATTTCTTGATGAAGGACTGTAACTCAAAATGGTGATTATTTTCTTGTGTGCATTACTTGAACCAGGAGGAAATAGAACCGTTCCCGGAAGAACGAGAGAACTTTCTTCAGCAATTATACAAGTTCATGGAAGACAGAGGTGGGCATTTTAATATTTGGCTTGTAGAAGTTGAAGATAAAGTACTGCCAAGCAATGCATCTTAAGAATTGAGTTTGTAAATGGGTAGTGCTCTGCAATTTAGTTTTGGAAACAGTGGGACTATATTAATGGCTTCTGACTTGCCTGCTGTTTAGAAGTTGTTGGTTGACTCTTCTTCTAAACTACTGTCACTTAGTGCTGCTTTCAGAAATAAATGGATAGTATTCCATATGTCCTAAGATATTTTTTACTGCGTACTTACAGTGTGTAAAATCAAACACTTAATATCCTCAATCATATTAACATACGTGCTCAATTTAATAACTTCAGAATACTTAAAATTTCATTTCCCCCTCACTTCTTAGGATCATGAAAAAAGGCATTTACTTTGCACTATTTTTCTTAAGTGAATCACTAAGCATTCACTTAAGGTAATCATGCCTGATCACTTAAATTCATCAGCATTATGAATAAGGTAGATTGAAATATTAAAAAAAAAAAACGCAAATGCCATTTATTATGTTAAATCTTTACTGGGTGTTTATATACTGCAAGAAAAGTACCATGTCTCTGGGGGCAGGGTGAAGGTATTGTATTTAAATTAGTATTATAACTAGTGAAATTTGTATCTTTTTTAATTATATGTGAAGATGAGTTGAGGAACTGTTTACAAGAGATGACAGTGTGGTAGCTACTGCTAGTATGGTAGTATAGGAAGTTTCACATCTTTGAAGTATTAGGAGATTTGTTCTTGGGGAGGTTTTGAGTTGTGCTTTTTGTTTTGTTTGTTTTTAATTGTACTGAGAGTATTGTGCTGTTATTTTAAGTGTAATTGTTTCAGCAGGCTAGATAAAAATAAGTATAATATAGATAGCAGGAAAAATTTTCATCATGTGCATGTTCCATAATATATGAAAGAATGCATATGTATGAATTAGATTACATTACTGAACTACATGGAAAATGGATTATCAAAACTCTAGAGTTTTTGTTTCCTAAAGAGAAAGTGCCAGATGCTTGAGGTGGTCAGAGGGGAAGGATTTACAGTACTGTATTTAATAGTGTAGTAGTGCCTATATTGTGGATTTCATGTTCGTCTGAAAAAATAATACTTCAAAACACTGTCAGTAACTGTCTTTATTCACAGGGACTCCTATTAACAAGCGACCTGTATTAGGATATAGAAATTTGAATCTCTTCAAATTATTCAGACTTGTACACAAGCTTGGAGGATTTGATAATGTGAGTATTAGTATGATAAGTATTCAAGAGCCATAAGATCTGAGGATGCTGTTTATTATAGTTTCAGTAGTGATAAAGAAGAATTGTACACAGGAGCTTTAGGCAGAGGAAAATGAAATACTACAGCTACATAAGACACCCTGTAGCTCTGAAAAACGTGTTTTAACGGGAACCAGAAAACAGTTATATTCTAAATAAATTACACATCTACTCAGTGTGTTTAATTATTACTGCATAAAGACATTCAGCATGTGTGGTTTTGTGCTATTTCAAAAAATATCTGTGTGATAGTTGTTAACTCAGAAAGTGAAAAGCGTAGTCACTGCTCAATAAAATTTCAAGACACAGATCATCTAGTTTAAGGTCTGATGTGAAGCCCTTAATTTCTATCTATTCTGGGCAGTATATAGAAGAATATGCTGACTGGGATTAGTGGGATTATCTTGGAGCAGTGATTGAAGCATATGGAATTCGTGGCCAAGCCGGTTCTTTTACAGCTTGGGACTGCTTCCCATATCTGTAGCCTGTTGGCTGAGAAGGTGTGTTTATGCAGTGACACCTTCTGATGTACAAGAGAGGACCTGTACTTGGGTACTGCAGTTCATCTGCTTTACCTTCACAGGTGGTTAGAAATGAGCATGTTACACTGTCTCAAAAGTTCGACAGCAAAGGGCATATTAAGGACATAATGAAAAACTGGCAGCCACTGTATCTGGTGCAGTGCTTCCCAGGGCTGAGTCTTGTTAATGCTTTGAATTAATTTTTTATTTCAAATTTAATTAAAATTCTAGCTTTTATGGTTAAGAATTACTTTAAATTAAAAAAAAAAAATCTGCTTATTTTTATGATCTTTGTGTTTTCTTCCCTTTGTTTTATTACCACCTGGAGAGGAAAGCCTGCTGTGGCTTATTGATATGCAGAAATGCTAAATTGCTTGAAGTAGTTGCATTAGACTATAGTGAAATACTCTGTGTGTGATAAATAGTAGTTTTATAGATCAGAGGCAATTACTTATAATTATTTTTCAAAGTTGTAAATTACGTCATCAGTATTTTTTGTGTCGGTGAGTTAATTCAAAAACAATGACTTCATTTTCTTTAACAGATTGAAAGTGGAGCAGTGTGGAAACAAGTTTATCAAGATCTTGGAATCCCTGTATTGAATTCAGCTGCAGGGTACAATGTTAAATGCGCGTACAAAAAGTAAGTAATAATGCCATGAAGTTTGTGCTAAAACAGCACTAGAATGAACTGAAGTGATCCTTACATAAGTCCGTATATTTAAAAGTCTGTAACTTTTTGGTTATAATACAGTTTTTTAGGCTTTATATGTACTATTCATGTTAAGCTTCTACTAGGTCACATGTTAACTCTTGAAACACACTTGCTTATCGCAAGCAATTTTTTTCTTTTAGATATCTCTATGGTTTTGAAGAGTATTGTACATCAGCTAACATTGAATTTCAAATGGCATTGCCAGAGAAAGTGACAAGCAAGCCTTGTAAAGACTGTGAAAAAGAAAAAGAACTGAAGATGCGTGAAGAACCAGATCAGGATGGAAAAGAAATAAAAGTGGATAAGGAGGAGCGCAAACAGGAGGAAGTAGCAATAGTACAACAAGAAGAAAAAAAGTTAGCTGAGAATGATAATGAAAGTAAAGAAAACGATAAGCCCTCTGTTCTGGTAAAATATTTTAATGTTCATGTTATATCATGTTTATAACATCACGTGGTATGTTGATAACCATGAGTTCATTTCAAGATTGAAATCTCCACAATGGATTGAAAAGGAAAACGTGCTGTAACCCTAATTCAGAACAACACATTTGAACTATACAGATCCCTTTGTGCCTGTTTTAGTGGATCATAATGTCAAAATGTCTGACTTGTTAGGAAGCAGCTGCAATATTCCACTTGTCTGGGGGCCTTTCAGGTCAGATGGAGACTAACTAGTGTGCAGCTTTATCCTGACGTGGGTGAAGTTAGCTCTGCATGCTCAGAGCTAACTTCAGTGCTGATACTTCTGTTTTGCATTTAGTTCTGCTTTTAAGCCCTCATAAATCTTGCTTTTTACTTCTCTACTCCAGTGAAACCAGTGAAGCTCTACAAAGACTATGGCCATATGATGTACACAGTGGTCTGATGTAGTTCAGTGCTCCAGAGAGACAAACGTTTATAGCTTTCCAAAATCCAGTGTTAACTCAGTGGTTTTAGCAAAGGGAGTCCATGGCAGTAAGCCGAAGTGCTGTGCTGTGCAGGCTTAGCAGCTTGCTCTGGAAGTGGTGTAGCTCCTCGGGTCAGTGTGCCGCACAGATGTCGCACTTCTGCTTGTAAGAGGCAGCCAGCCCTCCCTCATCTGACTGCTGGTGCCAACGCCAGGGTGGACACCAGGTGGGTCAGCACTGGTGTCTCTGCATCCTCGCTACTGCAAAGCGTTCATCTTAGGGACTGCTTTGCAGTCTAGGCCGGCAACATGTATATATCACTGTGGTAAAACTAGCTAGGACTCTGGCCACAGCCTTGAAGGCTGTCTTGTTTAGCTTGAGATTTTCAGGAAGAGGAACAGCAGAAGTGCTGTAACTTTAGAACAAGTCCTAGAGGCTAGATTTTTTTCACTCATGTAGCTTCAGTGGGTTTTGTCTGCCTTTTCTTAAATCCTTTGTATTTTTATTTCACCTTGTAGGTTAACGAAAGGTTTTATTTATTCTAGGGCAACAAAAAAAATTTGCCAGATTCTGTGCATACTCAACCTGATCAAGAAAAGGACTCAAATGTAATTAAAGCTGAAGATGAAACCAAACTAGAAGATAAAGAGGAGGAGAAGACTAAAGAAATGGAACATCCTGCCGTAAACGCAGATGCTGAAGAAAAAGAAAAATCAGGGTAAGTTAAGCTGTTTATAATTGGCCAAGGCATCTGATGTGTGTTCATTAAATTTTACTCATGTAATTAGAGCTTCAAATCGGACAACCCTGTTGTGAGTAAGACCTGTATATTCCAGAGACCTGAGTGTTTTTACAGGGTACAGGCCTAAATATTTATAAGCAGAGTGAGAAAAGGATGTGTAAAGCATAGGATAGGTGACTGATTTATGACGAAAATATTGCAGCCATTGGCATTCATATTTGTCTATGTCATTTTGGTCCAAGTATATCACAAACTTGTGGTTTCCAGCCTTTGCTGTTGGACAGTGGTGTGTTAGGGTTAACACAGGACAAGCTCAGGAACAGGTTTACCATTGAGTCTCCCGTGCAGTCCTTCAGACAGGAGTTCTGCAAGCAGGAGGCTGAAGTCATAGGGATGCTCAGGACCACGTTATCAATAGATGTGTGCAGGTGATCTCTCATCTCCTTTATGGAAAGGGCAGATTTTCCTGTTTCAGGACAAAAAAAAAAAACGAAACCAAAAACAACCTACAAGAGTTTTCCGGCAGCCACACAAAAAAAAAAAAAAAAAAAAAATCAAAGTTTACAACAGAATATAGTCCTTGCTAATCCCTAGTGTGTTAACAATTCATACTCTTGCTGTTAGGACCCTCATATAGTGTATTTTAAAGTGACAAGAACATAAAAAAGGCCTTTACAGGTCAGATCGAAGGTCTCTTTTAATACAGATCTTAGCTTCTCCTTTAAGCATCTGGGTTTGTTTTTTGTTGAAAACATCATAAGAGGGAGAGCAGATAATGACACCACCTTGTACTTCCACAGCAATCTGTACATCACGGTTGCTTTTTTGGTACTTAGTTCCAGCTGTTGCCTGACCACTCATTCCCTTGTTTATTACAGCACTTTTTGCTATTTAGTAGATCAGCTGTCTTAATCTTCTGTCTAAATATCATTAACTCTTAATGCTTGTTTTGGCCTATTAAGAGTCATGACAGAGCGGCAGAGTTCCGTATATTGATTTCTGATTATTGGTAGTAGGTTGTTTGTGTGGGGCTTTTTTTTTGTTGTGTGGTTTTTTTTGTGTGTGGTTTGTTTGTGGGTTTGTTTGGTGTGTGTTTTTTTGTGTTGGTTGGTTGGTTGGTTTGGTTTGTTTTTTTTTGTTGCTGTTGGTTTTTTTTCCCATTTTGGTAAGGGTTTTGATTCACATGTAACACATTCTGGAGGGATCCTTCTCTGAAGTGTTCTTGGCTTCCTAAATAATTTCAGTGAGATTACATTGGCAATTTCTGTAACTCAGAAATGCAGAATAGGGAAAAAATCAGCTTACCTGAACTCGGTTAGGAAGAGCCTTTTCTCTGTGGATGTGATTTTATTTGTATGCTACATGAATTTTTCTTTTTTGAAGGACCAATTGCTGAAATTTGCTATATTTGCAATTTTTAAGGTGAACTAGATGAGTTGTACTGTAACAGGTTTGCCAGATTTTCAGAATTGTTAAAGACTGATTTCTACAATGAGACCTTCAAAATATACAGATAAAAGATGTAAAACTTTGCATTGCTTAGAGAATAGCAGTTTTTAAAGTTCCCTATGTTGTGTATTTGTATGTGCGTGCGTTTGTGACATTCCTTTGTGTTTATTTATATACTTGGAAAGTATGGTGACTTAATACTTAACATGCTGCTATAGTAAATGGTACATAAAATTACAAACTGCTTGCTTTTCAGTAATCTTTTGCAGTTGTTTCTTTTTGTTTGTTCTGTTGTTTCTTTTATCATCCCGATTCATATCCATTGGGGTTCTTTGTGACATTTAAGAATGTTATGAGTTTTGTTTGTTTGTTTGTTTTATGAAAACAGAAAAAAAAACCCTGTACAAAATACTGTTTCTTCTTAATTTTCCCCAATTTATATGATTGTAGTTGAGTGACTGCTTTTCTCTCTGCTTCTCCTTACTCATCCAGTAAAAACTCGAACTAGTATTTTGCTATTGTGATTCATGAAAGATCGTAATGAGTAGTTTAAAATAGAAAGCTTAGCTCTAAAAATAGATGTAGGTGATGATGTGCTCATTGCTGGGCATGTATTTCAAGGAATAATCTAAACTTAGAAAAATGAAACATTTGTAGCAGTTAATGGTTTTATTCACTTACAAGCAGTAGTGCTGTTAGTGTGATGACTTTTTTTCCCTCAACAGTTGCTAGGATGTACAAAATGCAGTTTTATCAGCGTTACAGAGTTTTTTTAAAATGTCACCATCATCCTAAATGCTAAATAATGTTTTTACCCTTTATACCATAACAGGGTTTGGTGAGCCTGTTACATGCTGATGGGGACATTGTGCTAGGTGTTGTGCTGCCTCTATCCCAGCCTCTATGGGTTAGAAGTGGGAAAGGTTATACAGAGGGAAGAATGCTGTAGTTTAAGTTCTTCGTTGAACTGAAATACAAGATAAAAAAATATGTTTTTGTAGGTGGAAGACTAATCACACACACACACAAAAATACCCAGAAGATAATCAAAATAGATTGCTGTGGAGTGAATCTTTGTCAGTGTATTTAAAATGTGTTCCTAGAATGGTTTGTAAGCTATGGACCTGTCTTTTAGAGTCCTAACCAAATAACCAAACAAATGAAAGACAATATTATATAAGGCAAACTTATAGAGTTTGCTGTTTGAATTTATGTCTGTAAGACTCTGGGCATCTTCATATACTTGTTTAAGTATAGACACAAGGAACTAAGAGGATAGAAAAAAACTTTTGAGTTTCTTCTGGCTGAATTTCTGATGGTAGATTGGATCTAATTCCTAGCTTCCAGGTCTCAGCAAGTAACCACTGGAGGCCAGAGTTGTTTATTTTCCAGAAGTTTTGTTTCTCTGTCTCAACCTTCTGAGATTGCTACCACTTGAATCCTGTGGACTTTTGTACACACACTTCAATGGTATCACAACAAGGAAGAAAGGCTAAATGTGGTTCTCTTCCTTTCTTCCCCACAGCACCTGGTCCTTGCCTGTTTGTGTATCTGTGAATAATGAAAATAGAGATTCAAAGGCAGCTTGCCCTTTATTCTTTACACGCTTTGCTTTTATTTTCTTTTTTTTTTTATTTTATTTTCCTGTAGCTAGTGGAAAATGTGTGTGCTAGATACAGTTTCATGCAACATCTAGACACAAAAAATAATTTTAAAAAAAGGCCAGTAATGTTGTACTTCTTATTGATCTGTCCCAACAAGATCCTCACAAAAATGGCTTTGTAAACCCATCCTTTTCGTTAATGTATGAAAAAGTTTTCATTCTTAGTGAACAAACAAGGAAGTTTAAAACCTTCCTTATTTTGATGTTCCTGCTAACTCCATGTTGTGGAAGTACTGTTCTTCAAATGTGGCATTTTTCCTTTGTAGCATCTAACATTAACTGTTGTAACTATTCAGAGACTTGAGTCAAAGCCAACAAATTGAGAACCCAGGGGCCTTTTCTACACAGTGAACAATGTAGGCAGTTGAATGTTTTCCCATGAGACTGAGGCTAGGAGCCCAGTGGTGCTTTTAAAAGACGTGATGTTTTAAATATAAGCTAATAAAATAAAAAGTAAATATTTTAAAATTTCATGCGATTTGTGAACTGAAGTGTAGATTAATTGCTAGTTAACCAGTATAAGCAGGAAATTTTTTTTACCCCAGATTAATGATTAAACTCCAAGGTTTTTTTGTTGTTGTGTTTTTGTTGTTTGGGTTTTTTTAAGATTTTGCTCTAAAGCACCTGGGACAGGCCACTGTCAAGAACTTTATGCTGAATTGAAAGATGAAATGCTTGGAATCTGGATAAGTATTTTTGCTTTCTAACAAAAATTTGCATCAGACCTTTATATTGGTAGTATTTGGATTTTTGAGGTGACCAGGCAAAATTATTTTAAATAATCCCTGTTACAGTACAGAAAGATTGCAGGAGGCTTTGTTCTTGTGTTTTCCTTCTTTTGGCTGAGGTACTGCTTAATGCCTGGAGGGGCTGCCTTCTCTGTATCCTTACTTACCCTGCCCTTTCTCACCAGGCTGCCATTTTCAGGACTTGCAAATAGTTCGGTCTCAGACTTAGGAAAATTCATGGTGTTTGGGTTTGGTGTTTGGTTTTGGTTTTTTTTGGTGTTGTGTGTGGGGTTTTTTTTGTTTGTTTGTCTTTGGGGTTTTTTTTTTGTTTTGGTTTTTTTTTTTTTTGTTTTTTTTTTTTTTTGTTTTGTTTTGTTTTTTTTGTTTGTTTGTTTTTTTTTTGTTTTTTTTTTTTTTTGTTTTGTTTTGTTTTTTTTGTTTGTTTGTTTGTTTTTTCCCTTGAAAACTGCCTGCTTTTCTATTTTCTCTAAGGAATACATGGACAAATGTTCTTAAAGAACACTTCAGAAGCCTAAACATGTCTGGTTGTCTCATGCTGCCAGTGTAGGTCTTCATGGTATAGTTTTCTGGGAATTGATACTATCATATTTTGACAGTATCAAAAGGAACTGAACGCTTTGGCTGGCTAATAATGTTGAATGGAGTTAAACCATTCACATACAAGATAAAAATCTTAATCTTACAGTTGTTATACACGTTGTTACATGCAGTAATAGTATTTTGTATAAGCAGTATGAGGAAGACAGGAGTAGTAAAAGCAGTAGCTGAGAACTAGGTTAAGATGGCCACTGTTTCATGTGAAGGATTTTACTAGGGTTTATTATCCTTGTAGGGTGAGGTGACTACCTGCTGCTGCTGTTGTGTCTGTGCTGGTGATGTCTTCTGTTTGTAGAAGAGTTAAATTTTCTGGAAACACTTGATGTAGATTTTCTGGAAGCAGTTTACGGTGGGGTTATGTAATAGTCAGAAGCTCCATTTCACATATAGGAGGTAACATTGTTAGAGGCAATGTTTTCTTTAGTTCCTTTATCTGTTAAAGTGACATATCAAAGCTTTATGGTGGTGAATCTCAAATGGTAGCAGGAAGGCAATTTGATAGAGAAGGCATATCTTCTAGCTTCTGGATTAGTGCTGAGAACTATGTATTGAGATAGCTTTCTCCAGTCTGATTTAGATTTATATGGAATTGATTAGCTTAGGAGAAGGGAGAGAAGTGTGTTGTGTTCATTACACAGTTGGTGTGAACATCTGCTCTAACTCTTACAGTCTGTTGGTGTGTATGCAGCAAAACCCACATTTTGAAGAAGCGTACTTAGGTAGTTTCATTTGTAAAAACATATTTCTATGCTCTTATTTGTGATGGTGTTCTTTTTATGTATTCCAGCTGCTGTTGTGTTGGGAAGGAAATTTTTGTATGGTCATGTTTTCAGAAACAGTCTAACTGACTTTTTTTTTTTCTTAATATAGAGTCTGCACTGACACATGCATATATGTAAGGCTTGATTCAGATACAGCAGTAAGCTGCTGCTGACGCAGTAATAAAGTGTAGAGTAGCAGGGTAAATGTGCCAGTCTGTGCGTGCACCACGCTGAGTGGAAGGGAGCTCCCTTAGATCTTGCAAAAGCTCTTCTGTTGTCACATTTTATGTAGCTGGTGGTCACTATGGAGGTTATTAACCATGGTAGCTGTCACTGAGACGTGCATGGCTGAACCCTTAAACATTCATCAAATAAACAGATGTTTTCAAGCTGAGTGTGAACCAGTGCCATAAAAATGGAAATTGCTGTACTCCTCAGCTGGACTTGTGTACTTAAAGTTATCCTTTCAAGGAATGTTTCAAACCTTGGCTGAATGACTAGAAGCAATAACATGAGGTCCTTTCATTTGTCTTCTCTGTAGCAGCAGAGGAAATCTGTTTGCAGAGTACATGCTTGTGTGGTTGAAGAGTACTGAGCTACTCTGGGGTGTGATTCTAACCAAGGTAGTGCCTTTCCCTTTTCCTCAGAATGATGGACCATAGTGGTGCATTTATTCAGGTTTTCTCTGTGTGTAGAGGGAAGTCTTTGGAGCTTTTAGTTCTAGGTTTTCTTTGTAAATGAAAAGGGGAAATACTGGTTGGTGAATTCGGGGGGGGGGTTGTTATTTTCCTTTAATTAAAGATGAGATTCTAGTGTCATGGCATAAGTACAGGTCTTAATGGCCTCTCTACCTTTAAACATAGGGGCATTTTAATACAGTTGTGATTGAGAAAGTCGGTGTATGAAGGAGACTTGATGTCTTCCAGCTCTGTATTGTGTGAAATAGAGGTTAAATAATGTCCTAGGATGAGAAAAAGGGAAAAAGCATGGAAACAGAAATAGGAGCTAATTGCTAAACGTGAAGTGTCAATTACACTGGAGTTTATTTCTGCTACTGGTTCAATTAACTGTAATGACTTAATTGAACCAATAATTGAAATAATCTTGCTTCCTCAAGTTTTAGCATAACCACAGAAAAAAATAATCTTGCATTTGCCATCTCACCTGCTGTGTTTGCCAGCATGGGGTGTGAGGGGGAAGTGTATTGGAGCAGGGTCAGGTTTGCTGCAAAACAGGGATCCTATGAGGCATACCTAATGCTCCAAATCCCACCCTCTCTCAGCTTCCACCTGGGCTTTGTGACTGCACTGCATTGAGTGCCAGAGATTGTGAGTTGCCAGAGGTTTGCATGGTATCGCAGCTCCTTCAGTGGTGTAATAGCATGTGCTGTTTCATCTATTAACAACAGCTGCTTCTTGATATACTCTTCATTTATTATAGGCTTGTTGGTGTTAAAACTTCATATTACCTGCCATATATGTATTTTTAGCCTTTCAATAGTTTCAGTGTCCTTGGGAACTAATGATAAGGTATTTGCTTGATCTAAACATCTTAATGGATTCACATTAACAAATATTTTTGCATTGTAATTCATTAATTTCCTGCTTCTGAAGGTTTATGTTTGCCTTCCATGGGAGATGGGGTGAGGGTGTTCTTTAGCCTGCAGTTGTAATTGGAAATGCTTTGAGTCCTCCTGATAAGTTTTCTGGCAGTACTTGGGTTTCTGGAACACAGTTAACACCCTTATTGCTGAGTCTGTTGTATACACTGTGCATGCACATCTACTGCTGCCTTGTGTGGTCAGCTGCTGCTTGAGTTGCTCAAGTTGTTGCAGCCTTGTGGCAAATATTGCTTGCTGCTGTTTTTAAGTTGACAGTTACCGACTGGTGCCAAGAGGCTTGGCTGTTTCTTGCTTTTTTCCCCTGTTCCCCTCGAAAATGGGATTTTGACTAAACAGCATTAAAGGAAAACTGGTGTTCTAATGCATATGTACATGGACAAATGAGCGTGCTGGATGGCTACAATCACAATTTTCTCTTGCAAACCTCTGTTTCATGGCAGCCATGGCTTCTCCTTCATCTGCTTTGTCAGGTTTGAGATTTTTATGGCCTTGTAAAACAGTATCTTTTCTTCCTTGCAGCCACTGGAATTTGTTAGGGTTTGTTGTTTTTTGTTCCAGGAGCTGTATTAGTATGTCAGGTTTTCTGCTCCAAAATGAATGTTCTTTGCTGTTGCTTGTTTTCCTAGAATCTCCAGCTTGGGGTTGCTGCCCAAATCACTCTTTAGAACACTTCTTAATTGCAGTCACCTCTGCTTCCATTTTGCCTTTACTTCCTGACATTCCTTCTACCTATGCACAGTCTGCTCTTCACATCTACTTGACCATACAAGTTACTCAGTTTCACAGTGAGGGTTTCACACATCTCTTCCAGAGGAGTTCTGGTATTGTCGTGGAGTCTTTGTAGAATATCTGTTGGGTTACCAGGAAAGCCATAGGGTGATTAAGGTGAGGAAGACTCCAGACTTCTTTGCCTTCCATAATTGACACTGCAATTGCTAGCATCTGGAAGATCCCTAATCTCCCTTGTAGGCGTGGTTTTCTTCGCAGACTGCATTCGAGGATTGCGCTGCTGGTTCTTGGGTGGGAGTGGAGGAATAATCTAAAATTTGGTTTGTTACAATTTTGAAAAGTCTTATTAATAATGGAAATCACAAGCTTATCTTGTTCTTAGAGCAGTGGTGGCTCTGATCCTGATACCAATTTATTTTATTTTATTTTATTTTTTAGCTTTTGTCTGATAGATGATAACTGTTAAGTTGAAATTAGGTAGGAATTTCACTTACTGCAGCAGAGAGTATGATCTAAAAGCATTTAAATTACCGGTTGGTGCTTTCTGTTGTTAGCTGTGGAATTCTGTTCAGGAATTTTTCATCTGAGTCTTTGAGGACTTCTAGTCATGATTGCTTTGGGAAGTGAATTTTGCCATATGGTATGTATTGGGGATGAAGTGATCTTCTAAAACTCATCATTTATGTTGCATTTTTTAACTTCAGTGGTTTTAATTTCATTAGCAAAGTAGCCCACTGAAAGTATATAATAAATCAAATGTCTTGGACTTCCAGAACATAAGGATCTGGTCAATGTAATGTATACTGGAATAGATGCATCTTCTGTGGTTCAGTTTAGTTACTAGATCAAGAGAGGGATTTTTTTTTTCCTTTGTCTCATGGTGTATGCACATACATATAGATATGTGTGTGTATTTATGTATATTTGCATATACATGTGTGTGGCAACATTCATTTCTGAAGTAATTTTGTTAAAACAGTTTGGTTACACTACAGTTGAATTTAGCTTATTGTTCTGAATTCTCTTTTGCCAGCGAATTAGATAATAATACTGCAGTTTTACTTCTACAAGGAAGTATTTCAATAATTAAATTGCTATTTGATCCTTTTCCAGAGAGAAAATAGCTTGGTTTGCCCAAGTATTTTCCGCTGAAAATTTCATGGAAAGATTTATATTATTACTACATACTTTCGTGTTTGTGAGGTTAACCCTAAACATTGTTGTAAATTAGATTTGGAGCAGCTCTTACCTTCTCCTGCCCAGTCTGTAATACATCCAGACAGATCCATTCTACATCTCAGGGTTTTTTTAAATTATTAGTAAACTGTGGTTATTTTGAGTTTAGTAAATGGCCCTAATCTATTCTGTATTGCACAGAATATGGGGTTAGTGTGATGTGAGGGCCATTTACTGTTTTGTAAAGCTATTGAAGATTAATTGACATTTCTTTCCCATTAAATTTTGTAATGTAGTCTGCCTCTAAGCCGGTTGGAAATAATTTTGACAACACTGCTCAGCCCATAGCTGCAATTGACTGAGACTAGCAAGATTGGTGGGCTTTTAGTGCTCCTGAAAATTGGTCCAAATATCTAAAAAGGTATTCAAAATTAGCTTACTTTTCAAAACAGTGAACACCTGCTTCTGTATTTATATAATAATTAAATGCAAGTTTGATTTATATTTAGAAGACTTTTAGCATAATTGGCAAGGAGTGACAATGTCATAAATGAGCAGAGGTTGCTTGATTTGCTAAATAATCTCACTTTTTTTTTTTTTTTTCCCCCTAAAATCTGGGTTTGGTTGCAGTCACTTCAAGGTGTTGGTAGAGATTATTTATTATAATAAAGCAAGGATCTTACGGGGGAGCAAATTTCAAGAAGCACTTGTAAAACTTCTAGGTTGAAAAATGGAAATTAGGAAACTTTGTATTGAGGTGGATAGGTGTGAACTGAAAAAAAAAAGATATTTAAACAAAGGGACTGGGACTGCATGAAAGAATTGTATAAAGATGAGTGTGAACAACTTCTGCTCATACAGATTTTGATGGATTTTTTTTTTTTTTTTTTTTTTGGCTTTTATTCAAGTCATTTTTGCACCTTACAGTCACTGGATTTTGTGTGTATTGCTATATCCTGTTTTGCTGATATTACTCGGCCGTAGTGCAGTTCCACATATTTGGAGCCTGCTGTTTCCCAGTCTCTAATGCATCCACAATATTTATCAATATGTGTGGTTTGGAACTGAAAAGCTTATGAACTCTATATTAACTCTACAATTTTTTAAACCTTTCAAGAGATGACACGAATAAGGAAGAAGATGAAGATGAAGAAGAGGCAGAGGAGGAGGAAGAGGAGGAGGAGGAGGAAGAAGACAATAACAATGAGGAAGAAGAGTTTGAATGCTATCCACCAGGCATGAAAGTCCAAGTGCGGTATGGAAGAGGGAAAAATCAAAAAATGTATGAAGCTAGTATTAAAGATTCTGACATCGAAGGTGGAGAAGTCCTTTACTTGGTGCACTACTGTGGATGGAATGTGAGGTAACTTGAGTTTTAGTTAGTGATTACTTCTTGAATTACTTCTAAAATACACTTGTGTATTTTAAAAACTAAATGAATAGACATCTGAAGTCCTAAACTTTCACTATGGGTGTTCTGTGAAGGTCATGGTACTATATGAAACTATTAGATTTCTAACACTGTATAAATGCAGTACTTTAGTTACTGAGAAAATCATCTTAAAATCACTTGTTCAAAGAAGGCTTCCTTCATTCCACATCTTATTTTTAGATCTGTCCATACAAGAAGTGACAGCTCCCTCTTTCATAAATACCCTCCTCTGGCTCTCTTAAGCCAATTTTATCTTGTACAATATTTGAATAGTGCACTTAGCTGAGTCTGTATACACACTCTTCTCACTGTGAAGCAGTGTACGCCAGCAGTATGTTATTTGACAAGAGAAGTACAAGACTCTTAGTGGCAAATTAGTCTGCAGCGAGTAATTGTATTTCATTCAGATCCAATTTCTGCCCCTCCCCACCCCTCCTTCCCTCATGGCTGCCTTAGGCTTCCAAACAAGACTCTTCTTAGTCCAGTGGCTTCTTATGCTTTTTCCTCAATATATGCAGTAGTGTAAGCTTTTTATTGTCTTTCATATAGAACTCTTAGAAATAATTTGAAGTATTAAAATTTTTTGCCATTCAAGACCATCCTTTTTGACATTTAGAACTTTAAGTAACTTCAATACCAGTAAACTAAAGCTTCTAAGTGGCTCTCAAGCCAATAACCAAGTCTCTTGCTTTTTTCCTCAGTTTCAACATATCTGTTCATTGTCCTCAGCTGTCATCTTCTAAACTTCATTACTGTGGTTATAGATCTTTAAGAAAGAACACGTCTGAGGCAAATCTGCTGTATTTACTACTTATTTATTTTTCCTCTTCTGAGGCTCTTCTGACCTTCTTCTGTCACTTGGACTTTGATTACCACTCTACCTCTGAACAAGAGGGCAGGACAAATCTCATTTACTCGGTGCTAGCAAGATCTGCTGGCAGAGGTCACGATTCCAGAAGCGCAATAGTTCTCTTCCTCCTTTGAATACACCTCTTTGCATCTAGGCCTGATGATTTCCAGGACCACCTAAGCCCCTGCTGAGGAGCAATGTCTCAATACTGCTGGGTGTGGTATCAGTCTCTTTACATAAACTGTCTTCTGGCAGCATTTGTAAGCATGGTGGGCTGTGAAGTCAAGATACTGGAGGATTTGTAACTTGCTCCAGGTGGGATTTGGAACGTGACTAGCTTTTCAGTCATTACTGGGGAGGACTTGATTAGGGGCGTCAGTTGCTGAACTTTGCATCCTTCTTGCTGAGGATTACTGTGTACCATTCAAGAAAATTCTTGCTTTTATATTCTTGTTTTGGAACTCACATGTAAACATAGAAGTTATTTTTTTTGAGTACATATCGTGCATGCTATGAGGTGAGATGATCAGAGTTTTATTTGAGCAGCAGTACCACTTCAAATCTGAAGAAATGAGAAGTCAAAAATGATCCTTTACCTTGAACTTCTGAGCACCATGGTTCTTAAAGGAGAAACCATGACTGGTTTTTGAACTCTGCATTTTAAACAAATTGTGGATTGATATCAAAGGCATTATTCCTGTGACTAGGATATATTTGGTAAGAAAAGCATTTGTGTAAATTTTCAGTTATTTGAGAGGTGAGGGAAGTTGTCTGATGTTTCTAGCAGCAGGATTTTAATTTTTATTCTTACTTGGTGTTTCTAAAGAGCCTTCTGAAAGAGGATGGGAGAATAGGACCTTTCACTGAAAAATATACTAATGATTGAGATTTAGCTATGGGTTTCTGTGTGGATGCTGCTGAATGTGACCGATTTTTTAAATTCAAGTAAAGTTACTTGAGTTTGTTTATTTGGCAGTAAGCCTGGGCTTAAGGCAGCGTCTAAATGCTTGATATTTTAGTATTGTGAAGACGAGTCTTGTGCGATGTAGTAACTTGATTTGGCTTTTAGTCAGTCACAGCCTGGAAAAATAACTGCTTTCCTGGGGTGGGTAGCAGTTCCCTCCTCTCCATAGTCACTGTAGCTTACCTCTACCATCTAGCAGCAAGTGACTGTAGCATTATGTCAGGGGATGTACTCAACAAGGATTTTCTAATCAACCAGGATTTTTTAAATTCTGTCATTCTTCTAGCCCTTAAAGTTGACTTTCCCGTTTCCCATTTTGGTTAGTGTTCCATTTCATAGCCTGTTCTTTCAACCCATAAGTCTGAGCAGGAATCCTAAATAACTACTAATGTTTCTTACCACAAGGTAACTTCAGTATTGGTCAATGATTCAGAATAAGAGTGTGCGTGCATGTGCTTTGGGGCTTTGGGGTGCTTGAAATGGTAAACTTGCTATTCATCTTTTCATCTTTCCTTTTTTTTTTTTTTTTTTTTTTAAATGCTTTGGAACCAGTGACACCATTGTGGAACTTTTTTTTAATAGTAAATAGAAAATGCAGAAAAGGACTATAGTTCAACAACATTGTAGAGCTGCACTACTTTATGCTAAAGGATCTAGTTATTAGCTCCTGAGGTTCAGGTGATAGGTATCTGATAAAGAATTGTCGTGTTAAGTGGAGCCTGACTTGTAGTGAAAGGGAGACTTGTAGTGAAAGGGAATAGTAAAAATCTTTACGCTGTTAGAGAGAAACGTTTACATTACAGTGTGTTAAACAGAAAAAGCTTATGAGAGAAAGTGCATTTCTTCTAACAGGCCAGTCATGCTCTGAATTATGTATGCTTTATGTGGAACTAAAACTTGCCTGAGGCCTACTGTGCCGGTTTCTGTCATAATATTAATTTTCAGCTGCCAGGGCAAGGAAAAATTCATTGTATAAGTGTCTGAGGTAAATTTCTGCTGCAGCGTGTTCTCAGTAATTAAAGACAGAGGGTGTGTATTCAACAAGAGTTTAGTTTGTTTTAACTCTGTGCCTCGTATGGTATAAGATCAGAAAATGTCTTAGTTTTAAATACTTGAAACATTAAAGAATAATACATTATTTTCAACTTTTTTTTTTCTTTCAGAAATCTGTATGTGAAAGTGTTAATTTGTCACAGTTTGTTGAAGCATTAATATACAAACCTTGTACTTAAACAGTCAAGCACTAAAATTAACATGAGACTGTATTGCTCCCTACAACTACCAGCAAGGAGATCTTAGCAAGGTGGGGGTTAGTCTTTTCTCCCAAGTAACAAGCAATAGAACAAGAGGAAATGGCCTCAGGTACCACCAGGGGAAGTTTAGGTTGGATTTTAGGAAAAATTTCTCCACAAAAACGGTTGTCAAGCAGTGGAGCAGCTGCCCAAGGAAGTGGTGGAGTCACCAACCCCAAAAATATTTAAAAGATGTGTAGATGTGGCACTCAGGGACATGGTTTAGTGGTGGACTTGATTGTCTTAAAGTTGTTTTCCAATCCAGGTGGTTCTATGTGTAGCCAAACTTCAGGTTCATGAAAGATGTGGCAGAGTTTGTGTGTATGAAGAGGGGCAGATTTACTAAAAAATGAGAGTCCTCATCCAATATTCCAGTATTTGGTGGTAAGACTAAATCTTCTTCTTTCTTTGATCACAGCCAAGGAAAAAAATTGATTATTCCTTGTTAGCAGATACAGACAGTATACTGGAACTTTTCAGTGCATTTGCTAAGGCTTGTTAGTCCCCTGAGGTCACCTGTCTTCCTAAGAATGTGGTACCTTTGCTAGTATCGGTCTGGAGGCTGGAAACGGACACTTTCTTCCTTGTTTCTCCTCTAGTACTTCTGTGGAGGATTGGCTGTATAGTCTCTGAGAATATGTTGTGGTTTATTTTAGTGTGTAACCAGTCCATATGGATCTAATAGAACTGATACATACCCTTATGCAAAGTGCCAGTTATTTTTTTTTCTGCTATATAGTTATTTATTTAATTCTTCCTCTTCTCCCTCCTTCCATCCTTCCTTTTTTTCATATGAAAATTTATTTAAAAAATAAGTAATTATAATTTCTTACTAAATAACTCTTGAGAACTCTTGGTTCTCAAACAGATTTGTGCAAACTTTTAGAAACGCCTCTGCACCTTACCACCTTCTCCACACCCAGCTACTCACTTTAGGGAGCTGAGGTAAACAAGTGTGGAAGATGGCAATCACTAAAATGACCACCCAGGTCTTCTGGAAGCACGTACTTCTGGTAATGAGAACTGAAGAACTCTTCATAATGTTTTCAATTTTCTTTTGCTTTGTGAACAGGCTATCTGAAGGAAGATTAGTGGTGAATTAAGTTTTCCTGTTTTTATAAGGTGCAGTTCTATAAAGAAAGTCTTGAGTCCAAGTCGCATCATTCAGCTTTTGGGGTGCTTCTTTGTCATGCAGTAGAGAAGAATGTAATTTAGGGTCAGGTTGTCAGCTGTGGCTTGGGATGTATCCCTTTTTCAGAATCTGTTTCAGCCCAGGGCCCAATTGTCACAGGTTTAGGCAAACCGTGTGCCTTTTGATGTGTGAACAGTGAAAGGAGCTGTGCCATGCACAAGTGCAAAGCGTGGCCATCTGGTTCCCTGGAGGAGATTGAAGATACCTGTGTTGCTGGGCCTCTTTGCAGGGCCTAACTGCTGCTGTTCCAGGCGCAGTCAAGAGTAGTGCAGGATATACCCCAGCTAGGAACTGTGGCTGTCACACATAAGTTTTCAGTTTGTGCTCCTTGAGATGAGGTGTTGTGACCACTGCTTCTAATATGTAACATTTAAGGCCCTGTGGTATCTACAGAAACTCTCCTAGGATTCTGCGCATCCTCTCTCCTTTGCTTCGGGGTACCCCCAGTCCATCAGCTGTCGCCCCATCAGGCACTACAGTGGCCTTGAGTCACGGACAGTGCGTGCAGCGCACAGGCTTTGCACGGGGGTGGGAGGGGACGTGGTTCTCTTACTGGAAATGCATAGAAGGAGTGAGTACAGTTCTGTGCTACAGCAGCACGGTTGAGGCAGAAGGGACACTCACAGAATAACTGCTTTTCACCGTGTGTTTGTTCAGTCCTAGTGCTGTTTTCCTGCATGCATTTAGGCCTCATGAAATACTCTTACATTTATGTGAGTTGTAAAGTCCTTCTGGCAGTCTGCTTGGCAGTATCCCGTCTGGGAAGCACGTCTTTGACTTGAAGAAAGACTGCTTTGCATAGTTTCCCACAGACTCACAGAATGTGGGATTTTTCCATACTGAAGATTACTCTGCAGATTTGTATTTCAGTTCTGGAGAGAAATCTGAGTCTGTTCAACATACATGTCACCCGCTAATAGCACAATTAACAGCTGTGGCTGCAGCAGTATAGGTTATGTTGTAATCTGCATGGTCTGCTGCTAGATTTTGTGATATTTTTATTGTCATGTGGAAGGGAAAAAAGCCCAATTTTTTTAACAACTATTTTTCAGTGACTACTGCTGCTTTTTTCACAGTATTATGTGACATTTAAGTCAATAAAATACAGCTTTTAGCTTTTGGAATCCCTTGCATAGGTCTTAACTTGGAGTATACAGAAAAGCAAGTTGGAAACTTCTGTATTTTTCTCATCCTTTTTTTTTTTTTATATTTGTATTTTAAGATTGTAGATATAATTGGCAGTAATTGCAAAGAAGCTTAATTGGAACTGTATCACCAGTCATGGTATACATCAAAACAATGGTCAGGCAAACTCAGCTGGAAAGCTAGCATAGTCATGATGGCTTTGTGCTTGGCTCCATCTTGTACTAGTCTCTGTGTGTGCGCGTGTGGTTTGGGTTTTTTTGATTGATTGGTTTGGTGGGGGAAGGGGTGGTTTTGTTTGTGGTTTGTTTGTTGATGTGTGTGGTTTTGGTGTTTGTTGGTGTTTTTTTTGTTTAAGTTGTTTTCTTCCTCTGTTTTCTTGTTTACCGAGGAGGGATCAGAATTTGTGTGTCTGCACCCTGAGAGAGAAGTTAATACATACTGATTTTTAACTGACCTATTTCTTACTCAGTTCTTGAATTCACAGTTGGACAGCAGATTATGCTTATTTAGGAGAGAAAAAAAAAAGTTGATTCTTGAAGTTTTTCAGAAATACACAATGAAACTGGAAAGAGCAGTACTATAGTTACAGTATATTCTTATTAAGAATGTACCCCTCTGGTCTTGAATTTGTATTTAACAGGTCCAGCTTTACATGAAAAGACACCTGTTAGTGTCTTGGTGCTCTTTAGTATGTTTTTGTCCAGCATCATTCTGACATAAAAGGGAAACCTTTAACTGAAAACAAATGGACAGTGTTAATGTTAAGGTAGTGCAAATATCACTTGCAGACACTGGGCTCAAAAGAGTTTGTTTTTGTTAACTAGTCATGTTGTATGTAACTGTAAGAATTTATTTTATTGTTGAGGTTTTACAGTAGATATATGAAGTATACTTCGTGGAGATCCATACAGAATTCTCATTCTGGTAGTTTGTTTTACCTGTATGTACATGTTTTCTGCTGTTCAGTCCCGACTGGAAAAATACCAGCTTTCATTCTTACCCATCAGTGTTAAGAAAACCTTCATCTTATATGTCCCACCATATGAAGAATTGAACCTTAGCTGAAATCACATGGTGAAAATTACACATATTACTACTTTATTCAAATTACAATTTTTTATATGGCTAATAATTTTCTTTTTCCTCCATTAATGTCTATTATGATGTTGTGATTACCTGCTTGAAATCATGAATGCATACAATTTATTTTTTTATTGTAGGTATGATGAATGGATAAAGGCAGACAAAATAGTGAGACCAGCTGATAAAAATGTACCAAAAATTAAGCATCGAAAGAAAATAAAGGTAGTTTCTCTCCTTTTTTCTTCCTTGCTCACCCAAATTTTGGTTTAAGATATTAACTATTGTTCCCACTTGTCCACCTTCCTAACCTTTTGATTGCCCTGCAAATGCTTCACAGTAAAAGCCACTTCTTAACCTTTTGAAAACTAAATTTTTTTTTTCATCAAGGTTTTTTTTTTTTTTTTTTTTTTTTTTCACTTTAGGGGGAAGCTTCTTATTCCTTCCATCTTATATTTTAAAATTAAATTTATGTATGCACCTATAGGGTGGGGTGTAGGGACATGTGAAATTTGGGAGCTCACTAATTTGCTTCTAGAGAGCAAACCTGTGACTGGTTCACGTGTACGTGATCGTCGTTTCATTTCATAGCATTCCTTTCAAAACGCGTTCTTTTAAAAATGATATTTGGGCTTACGTTCTGATCTGTTCCTTTGGCAGTGGGACCCAAGGAAAGGAAGCTTTTCCTTCTGCCACAGCTGTCAGCTCTCCCTTCCACCCTCCCCAGGGTGCCTCTGGAACCTGAGTGGTGTTCTAGAGCTCTCTGTGAGGGGGCAGGGTGTCACAGCCCTGCCCTGCCACTGTGGAGCCTGGCAGCTGCTGGTTAGCCTTTTGTCCCACTGCGCCCAGAGCATGGCCTCTGCTTGCTTTCCTGTTGGTGTCAGTGTTGACAAAGTTCCTCTCTTCGGTATAAGTATCTTGACATGGGACATAGAAAGTTATTTGTAAACTTGTCAAAAGAGATTTGGGAAAAGAGGAAAGGTTTTTTTATAGGTTGAATGTTTAAGGTAACTGTAAGCATTGCTTAACTGTAATCCGTGTCAAGATGTGTGTTCAAATGAGAAGAGTTTTTAATCTTTTCTTTCACATAGAATAAAACTGACAAAGAGAAGGAAGAGAAGTATTCTCCTAAAAACTGCAAATTGCGACGTTTGTCGAAACCACCTTTTCACACCAGCACATCACCAGAGACTGGGTCCAAACTTGACAGCACTGAAGCCAAAAATGGTGAACAAGCTCCAGTTAAATCAATAGAAATTACTTCCATCATTAATGGGCTACAAGGTATTTTACTTAAATGTTTTCTGATTCTGTAAATGGCCTTTAAACAGTTAAAAATGACAATGTAGAAAAACTGGTTCAGCTGTATGTACACTTGAGTCTGTCTGGCAAATTATAACATCATATTCAGAAATAACCCTTGAGCAAAAGCAATATTCACAGTTTCCGAAAACAGGCATTGTGGATTCAGTATAGGTTAACCATCTTCAGAATTACATCATCTGTTTTGCCATCTTTTTCTGTTTGATAGACAGCAAGGCGTTTTTGCTTCTTATATTTCCAAATATGTAATATTTGATTAATGTAATTTTTAGGACTCATGGTTATTTTCTTTTTTCCCTTGAAAAATGGAATTACTAAAATTAGGTTTCCTATCAGGACGTCTGTTGTTACTCACATTGTCTTCTCCTTCCCACACATTCATGGCAACATTATAATAACTAGTTGCTTCTCTTTATCCTTAGTTTAATGCGTGCTTCCAGAAGAAGAAATCGTATATGGTGTATGTAGTTTGGGTAAAGACCAATTTTTGTGAAAGTTGTATGAATCTAATAATCTTTCAGATTTATTTGAACTTGGATGACATTGGCCACTGGGTTCCAAATTTGTAGGTAAAATAACAGTCAATATAATCTATTAAGCTTTGTTTCCTTGGGAAATGAGAAACAAAGGAGCGATTAGTGGTGATGATAATGACACTATCATTAGTGCTACAATTAATCTGTAATTAACTTCTGATTACAAAAGCACTATTTGATATCCACCCTCTAATACTTGGGGAAGCTAAATGTCTTCCATATTATGTAATTTCCAGAAATGCTTTTGATTGTATGCAATTCTTTTATCATTTAAGTTCAGATAGATTCATGCTGGGGATTAACTTTTTCTTTCCTGTTACCGGTGGGGTTTTAAGTATTAAGGGCTCTAATGTTTTACTATTTTCTTTTTTCTTCCACTTTGAAAGCTTCTTGCTCAAAACTTTTTACATTTCTTTTTTTTTTTTTTTACCCCCTAAAATGAAATGATTAATGCTATTGTGTTCAACTTTCCTTTGAAGGGCACAGCAGGGTTTAGAGGAAAACTTGATGGACCTGAATTTTGGTGGTTTTTTTAGATGTTGTGTTCTTGGCTTTTACTTCAAATGACAAGTTTTGATACCTCTTTTATTATAATAGTAATGTAGTTCTCATGCTCTAAGTTATGAGAAAGGCAAGTGTTACAAGTCCACTTTAAGTGATAGAGTTTTAGGGTTCTTGGAATTTTAGGCCAGAATGTCTACTGCAAATGTTTAATTAGAAAAAAATCAAACAGCACTGAAAGGGTTAATTCAGCCATTAAAAGTACTGCTTTTCTTTGTCATTGATTATAGTAAAGAGATTATGAGTTTTAGTGAGGAACTCAAAATGAGAGACGGGAAGTAGGATAAGAGGAGCTTAACCAGCTATGCCAACAAAAATGGATGAGTTACAAATCAAGGAGTTACTCATATATTTGAGACAATTCTCACTGTTTCTTCTTGTATCCCCATCTTTTCCCATAGAATGGCCTTGTTGGTTCCTTCTTTGGTGTATCTTTGTTCTTCTTTTATCAGTTTCTTTACTCCTGACCCTGAGTTTTCTTACTCTTGCCTTACACTCTTACTGTTTGTATATTTCTCCAAGTGCTTTTCATTACTCCTTTCACTTCCCTTTTCCAGAGTGGCCATCAAGTTGGTTTGTTAGAGATTATTCAGTGTCTTTGTTATTGTTCTGTCCTTTTAGACTGTGGACTCATCAGGGAAAATACTCTCAGTTCTGGACATTGGAAAAAGGGCAGATAATGGTAGTATTTGTAACACATAACTATTTGGACTTTCTATGTGAAGCACATCTTTCAGTTTCTGCTTTGGTTAATTATGCAGAGGTTGGTACTTTATGGATTGAGGTACTCTATACTTTCTGTGCCTCTTTGGAAATTCCTGGAGATGTACTGTATAATAGAGAATTTTCCTAGTTCCTGATCTAGCCACTATACCCTGTAATAGAACAAGAGATAAATTTTCAAAGTCTGCAGGAGGTACCATTTAAAATACCTACTGCTAGAGATGCCTATAGCATGTGTTCATATCTATACAGTTTTCTTCAGTTGTTTTTTTAAGAACTATTTGTAACCAGAATCAAGACAAACTTTTCTTGTTGCTTTTTTTTTTTCTCTTTTTGTTTTTGATTAGCTTCTGAAAGTTCTGATGATAGTGAGCAGGAAGATGACCAAAGTGCCCCGAATGTACATGCTGCTGGCAAAGAGGAATCTCAACATGAAGCTGTAAGCCAAGATAAAAATGAACTTTGTCTAAAAGAAGAACAGAGCAGTTCCTCCCTCTCAGAAGAAACTAAAGCTCTGACAGATGTAGTAGTACCCAAGTCAGGATCCAAGTCTCCTGAAAGGTTGCGAAAAGAGATGGAAGAGTTATCTGAAGAGACTGACTCAGACAGAGAAGACGAAGCTGCAAAGAAGAGAAAAGATGTAAAAAAGGAGGTAGTGGATAAAACAGCAAAACCACAGGTGAAACGTGGCAAACGAAAATACTGTGTTGCAGAGGAATCCAATGTAAAGACTGTGTCACCTAACAGAAAGGATGAGAAGTCCAAAAACAAAGACTCCCTTAGCTTAGAAAACACCAGTAACAGCTCCTCAGATGAAGATGAAGAAGAGAAATCTAAGCTGAAAATCACTCCAACTAAAAAGTACAATGGACTAGAGGAGAAAAGAAAGTCTTTACGGACAAGTACTTTCTACTCAGGATTTTCTGAAGTGGGAGAAAAAAGAATTAAGCTTCTAAATAACTCTGATGAAAGACTTCAGAACACCAGAGCAAAGGATCGAAAAGATGTCTGGTCAAGTATTCAGGGACAATGGCCGAAGAAGACACTGAAGGAACTGTTCTCAGACTCGGACACTGAAGCTGCTGCCTCCCCTCCACACGCTGCTGCTGAAGAGGCTGCAGCAGAGGAGCAGCTTCAGACTCTTGCAGAAGAAGACATTTCTTTGCCTGGCTCTGAACTTGAAAAATCTTTGCCAGCTAATGTGGACGTTAAACCTGTTGAAGAGAAACCGACTGAAGTGGGTGAAAAGAAGGTTGAATTTCCAAGCAGTGGCAGTAATTCAGTGCTAAATACTCCTCCTACAACTCCTGAATCGCCTTCGTCTGTAACCGTGACGGAGTCCAGTAGACATCAGTCCAGTGTCACTGTCTCTGAGGCGCTGCCACCAAACCAAGAAGAGATAAGAAGCATTAAAAGTGAAACAGATAGCACAATAGAGGTGGACAGTGTTGCAGGGGAGCTGCAAGACCTCCAGTCTGAGGGGAATATTTCTCCGACAGGTTTTGATGCCAGCGTCAGCTCCAGTAGTAGTAATCAGCCAGAGCCAGAGCATACTGAAAAAGGTAAAGGAAAGGGTAAAAAGAGCTGTCTTCAACCTAACCAGCACTCCTTTTAGCATTGCTGATGTATTTTCATTCTGTTATGGTTACACTGCTGGAAAGTTAGCTGTGGGAGGAAGTAGTAGCCTGCTGTCCACTTTAAATGTGTGGAAATGGCATCAACGTCTAGTGAACAAAATACAACCTGACAGGAAGTTTCTTGGCTATTCATGAGTTGAGAGGGTTTCAGTGAGGAATTCAGTATGTAAGAATAAAGTCTATACTGACACTGGCAAGAATAGTCCAGAGCAAAGTGCAGTACATTGAAATGAAATTCAATTTAAATGAAACTAATATTTTTAAAAAGTACAAGCCAAGCCAATAACAAACATAGACCTTATTAGCTACGTTTCACTTTCAGATGTGATTTTGCAGATTGATGTTCCTATCTTGAGAACACCAGAGAATAGGGAATAATAAACTCTGCCAACACTTGTGCAAGTGATGTCTGTGTACTGCTGCCTGCTTCTTAACTGTTGGCAAGGCTGGATCTAAAAGCTTTTTTTTTTTGCGAAAGTCACTGGCTCTTTTACACTTGCATCAAAAGTGCAGCTACTTGTACTGTTAAAGCACTGTTAAAGTCCCTCAAAAAATTATTACTACGAAGGAAAAATATAATCTGAATGTAGTCTGAGATGACAGAATTTTCTTGATCTCAACAGATTTCAGTTAATAATTAACTGTATTTTCTCAAGATGCCCTTAAGATATATTACCTTCATCATTCTGTTTGAACTGTTCTTTTGAAAGAATGGAACAAAATGTGCTGCCTTAAACAAAGGGGAGAATTTAACAGAGGTGAACATGTAGTCCTCAATAAATACACCTGTATTGCTCTATTAATTATAGATGTATAAGTTTAGAAATTAATTTGTTTGCTTTTTGATGTAAAATTAAGATGTTGTCACATGAAAAAAGTTCTACAACATTACACAATATTTTATATGCGTTAGACTTCAGCTTTCTCTCTGATTTTTGTCAGCACACTGACTATTTTAGAAAATTTGTTTTTTTAATTTAAGTGATTTTATTACAGGAGTAATTTTTAATCTGTAAATCAGGTGGTTGTGGAACAACGTTTGAAGAACTCCTAAAATTTGCTCTTTTAACAGGTGTACTAGAATTCTTTTATCTTCCTTTTCTACTTTTCCCCCTTGTAGTCAAAAGTACCAGTAGACTTTTTCCTTTGGTTGTTTTTTTTTTTTTGCTTGTTTATTTGCCTTTTTTTTTTACTTATTTTTTTGAACATTATCTAAGCATGGATTGGTTGTTTGGTTTTTTTTAATACTTTCAAGGAATGTAATTACTGGTCACAAATAATATTTTCAGGTTTTTCTCACAGCTTCCAAGTGCAACAGGCTTTTTTGAACATTTTTCAGTTGCAGTTCTTGATAAATTAATGAATTCAAATAAATTTATCCTTATTTAATTTACAGTATTATAAAAATCGGTGTGGCTCGAGAAATTCTGATGATGCATACAGGAAAGTTGCAATCATCTCACATGTGCACTCTAACAAACTTTATCTGCCTTCCATCTTCTTTCACCGTCTCTTGTTAATATAAATAGAAAGCTGAGCCTTTTTTTTTTTTTTTTCCTTTTTTCTTTTCAATTTTAGTCTGTACAGGCCAAAAAAGACTTAAAGATTCTCAGGGAGGAGGCAGCTCCTCAAAAAAGCAGAAAAGAAGCCACAAAACGTCTGTGAACAACAAAAAGAAGAGTAAAACTAGTAAGTACATCAGCTCAGTGTGAAAAGAAATGTGTGAAAGTGTTGTGTTATTTGTGTGAACAATTGTAGATGAAGCCTGGAAATAAATGTATTAGGACAAAATGTTCTCTTCAGGGAATTCTTAAGACTGTTTAAATTAAAAAACTAATCTTTCTGAATGCCAGAGTGTTTTAAAATGTGTTATTTCTGGTCCTGTTTCTAAGAGTTTCTTAATATTGTGTCATTCAGGAAGACTTAAAAAGAGCAAGAATTTCACACTTGGTAGAATTGGGATAGGAATCTGTGTGGCATGATACCTGCATGTTTTAGAGGGGATCTAGATGAAATTGTGCTTTGTATTTTTTGCAAGATGAGTTTTTAGAGGTTAATATCTCTTTCAGTAGCAAATGTGAGAATAATTCCAGAAAAATGTTTTCTTTTTTTCCTGTATCATCTGTTACATCTTCAGTAAATAATGCAGCTTTTGCAGCTTTTTTTGTAGTTGTAGAAGTTAATTGGAATCAAAACCAGAGTACTGGGGAAGAGAAGCTTAATAAAGGCAGAGGAGTATTAGAGAGACGTATGCACACGTGTTCAGGAGACAGCAAGATCAAGTACTGCCTCATCTTGCTGCTAGACACTGGGGAACAGTCAGCCAGAGGGTGAAGCTGGGAGGATAGCTGTAAAAAAACAGTTAAAGCAAAGACAGAAAGCACAGGCTTTTTTCCTTCCTTCCTCCTCTCCCCCCAACCTTTTTTTTTTTTTTTTAACAGCTTTTACTAGAAGTCTGTACTTTCTGGTCTGGTATTCACTTTCACAGCACCCAGCCTTCATGTTCATTGATCTTCCCTTCACATTCTCTCATCCTTTTTCATTCCACTTCACTAATCTCTTCCTTCCATAATCCTTACTCCTTCCCTCACCCCAGGAATTAAAGTAACAAAACAAACTGAATTTGCAGAACTAATACGCCATTTTTAGCCTTGCCATTGTTCCCTTTGATTTGGTGAATTTATCCCTTAATCTGTGTCTTCACCAGGGTGCAAGCATTTCAAAGCTGGAATTGTTTCTTGTACTTTGTGCAGCCTTTGTGGTTTAGCTCTTTTTGTTAGACTTCAGGCACTGCTCTATGTAATGAGGGCAATAAATAGATAAAGCATGGAGTCAGTTGTGAGCAAAAAATGCTTTTTGCAAAATTGACATATACCACTTCAAACAGCTTTTGTGGCAGTTTCAACTCTTGCCTTTGCATTAAGCTAGCAGACAACAGCAGCTCTGCAGCTAGCTGAGTGCTTTCATACTCTGTGTATCTTGATGCTCAGTTTCCAGTGTAGATTTACCAGATCATAAAGACTAGAACCAAAAGAAATTCTCAGGGTTCATTTTGTTAAGACCTATAGCAGGTACAGCTGAGGTGTATGTTTCATAGAGTCATAATGATTTGGGTTGGAAGGGACCTTAAAGATCATCTAGTTCCAAGCCCCCTGCCATGGGCAGAGCATCTTCCACTAGATCAGATTGCTTAAGGCCCCATCCGACCTGGTCTTGAACACATCCAGTGATGGGAGCATCCACAACTTCACTGGGTAACCCAATCCAGTGACTCATACCTCCACCACCCTCATAGTGAAAAAGTTCTTCCTAATTTCTAATCTGAATTTACCCTCTTCTATTTTAAAACCATTACCTGTTGTCCTGTTACTGAAAGCCTTCATTATCAGATACTAGAAGACCTTAATAAGGTCTTCCCAGAGCCGTCTCTTCTCCAGGCTGAATAACCCAAACTCTCTGAGCCTGTGTTCACAGGAGAGGTGTCCCAGCCCTCTGCTCGTCTTTGTGGCCCTCGTCTGGACCCACTCCAACAGGTCCACGTCCTTCTTTTGTTGTGGGCTCCAGAGCTGGACACACAGTACTCCAGGTGGGGTCTCAGGAGAGCAGAGCAGAGAAGCAGAATCACCTCCTTTGACCTGCTGGTCACAGGTTTCTCTTGATAAATATTAATAGATTGCATTTCTAAAAATAGCTCTAATGATGGAGATTCTGCAGCCTCCCTAGGCACTTTACTTCAGTGCTTCACTAGGCTACTGTGGGATTAGAATCTCTTGCCCTTGCTTCCGCCTCAGTTTTATTTTTGTAATGCTAAACAAGCTTCATACTATCAGTCATTACCCATAAATACTTTCAGACAGATGATTTTGTTATTCTCCTTTGGGTGGTTTAATTAGAAAACTGTGCTCAGTTCAGCCTGTTGCTTTATTGTTGGTTTGTTTTTGGTGTGAGGTGAAGTTCTGTTTTAGGTCAGCTGAAGATGTTTTTCTACAATAATGAATTTGATCATCATATCTGAGGATTTTTTTAGATGTCATGCAAATTGAGATCATTGCTAGTCTTTTTTTTTTTTTTTTTTTTTTTTTTTTTTTTTTTTTACAGAAAACCTAAAATAAGGTGACATAAGGCTAAGAAAAAAGGCCAGTCGTTTAATCTCGTTTCTGTTAATATGTGTCCTAGGGGTACAGTGAAAAGTCTGTCTGTAACTGTTGGCTCTTAAAAGGGGATAGAGATTTTTAGATATTGAATGCTGTATTAGAAATTAATATTAAAAATAAAAATATATAAACAGGACATAACAATCAGCCTTGCTAACTGTGTTAGAAAAAGTATAACCCTGTAAACAGAAATATGTGACTATTTTTTACACCTACATTGCCATACTGGACTGCCTCTTTGCCTTATTTTCTAATGCACATGGTTTTCTACTTGAATTTTTCTATTTTTCTGATTTTTCTATTTGTGCACATGGTTCCAAAGCACCAGGCGTGATGGTGCCATGCGCCATTCGGGGGGCAGACTGAACCTTCCTGGAACGGGACTCAGGCCGTTGGATTGTATTCAAGAACCTCCTTACAGGAAGTGTTTCCCTGCCCCCAGCCCTTTACACTCTTGCACACACACTTTAAGCAATATAGTCAGTGTTCAGGGTGGGTTGTGGAGCCACAGTCTGATACTTTTATCCACCTTCTAGCTCTGAAGGATTTTGGTTCCCATAGGTCTACATGATAGCTATGAATCTCCCTGCACAGCAACTACCTGGGTGTGTTTCCATTCCAAGCTTTCCCTTTTACAATGTGCCAGAATTAGAGGGTCTCCATTTTATATACCTGTTTTGTGGTCCTGTCTTCAGGCCTTAGTGGTGTGGAGAGATGTGTGTCAAGCCTCTATACCAGGATGGATTATGTAATCTTAGAGTAAAAGGATTTGGGTCAAATAAACTCCTGTTAAATGAAAATCAGCACAGGGGTAGCTTCTGATAAGCTTTCGTTGGGCAGGAAGGTTGCTTTGTTTTGTAACAATGTCTTCTTGTTTCTTCAGCAAACAGCAGTGACAGTGAAGAACTATCTGCTGGTGAAAGTGTGTCCAAGGCTCAGTCAGCAAAATCTGTTTCTGCTGGCATGAAATCTCACCAAACCAAATCACTAGCAAGAACACAGTCTCCAGGAAAATGTGGGAAAAATGGAGAGAAGGAGTCTGATCTCAAAGAACAGAATAATCGTTTGCCCAAAGTTTACAAATGGAGTTTTCAAATGTGTAAGTGTTTTCTTCAAAACAAGCCTAGCGCTGTCTTGTGGTATAGGATAAGAAGGCTTTCTGAATTTTGTGTATTTTGCTTAGTTGGGTTTTTTTCCCCTAAAATTATTCCATCCTCAGTTTGCTTAATTTTGTGATCAATCCCAGTTTTTTTGGCGTGTGTTTGTTTGTTTGTTTTCCCAATTGCAGTGCAGGAAGCTGCATATATCACACTCTCCCAATACTGCATCTGGATATTTGTCTAGTCAGCAATAAATTGTTGTCCGTAGTACCAACCATGGATGTATAGCACTGCATGAGTTGCTTTCTCTTTGCCTTTAAAGGTCAAATTGAAATTGTGCTGTAACTCATGTAAATTACTTCTTAAAGTAACCCTTAGTATCTCATTCTGTATTCACAGGTAAACTTGTGTAGCCAGGTTTCTGAAGTTCTCAGAGCATTATGCTCCATGTTTTTCTGTGCTCTGTCCCAGGCTGCATGAAGGCTGCTGTTCCTCACATGAAGTGGGAACAGAAAAGAGCTGACACAGCAAACTGTGCAGATACAACTGTGTAATTTCTAATTTTATTTTTTTTTTTTTTTTCCCAGCAGCATTCTTTCATGCTCAGGGAATTCTCCACTTAGCCAGCAGTTTTTGCAGTGAGAGAATCTGGCCCTGCATTTTTTTTTTTTTACTCTTTGTGTTACTCCACTTTAAAAGTATTTTTCTCCTCATACTTCTTCACTATCCAGTTACATTCTGCTGCTTTTCAGGGCTGTGTGATGTAATAGGTCTTCACTGTCGCTCACTGGCCTGCTGAGATTGACTGGGCATATTTCCTGTGCAAGACATTTAAAGAGCTCTTGCTCCTTCCTTTCGTTTCATCTTGGCTACATTGCTAAATTTGCTTGGTGGAAGTTGGGCTTGGGAGTCTTAAATTTAGCACATTTCCTGGTGTTGGAGAGGTATAAGACATTTGCAACATCTCTGAGTTTTCCTCATCTTCACATAGCCTAATACAGTCCTGGCCTGTGGTGCTGCCTTCATTACAGGTTGATGAACTGCATTCTGTGCTCCACAGTAGCTTAAGTGATTCGTACGTATCTTCAAATGGAGCATCTCCAGCGTGTCTTATCTGTGGCTTAAAGGAACTGGACTGAGAGAGTTCCTCCTGCCTGTGCTCCTCATAACTGTCTGCTACGCTGGGGAGAACTTCCCAGCTGGAAACAGCCAGAGGTGGCCATGTCCATCAACACCCCTGCATGGGATGCCAGCAAGGAGGTCCTGGGCAGTTACAGGTTATGGCCCCTGTGCCACAGACTCCATTAGAGCTGCATTGCACCCTACCCTGCAAAAAAAAGTGTGTCTGTCATGTTAGCTTTTAAAAAATAATAAAAGATGAGCAAAGTTTGTGGTAACAAACAGCAGCTGCTATTGCTGTTTCTTGGCTTTGCTGTCTGCTACCTCAAAGCACATCACTGAGGTTTGAGCACTTCCCACTTCACTGATATTTGGTTGGTTTTGGAAATGCTGTGGTACAATAATTAACAGAGATTGTTTTATTTGCAGCCGACTTAGAAAATTTGACCAGTGCTGAGCGCATAACAGTTCTCCAAGAAAAACTGCAGGAAATCAGGAAACATTACCTGTCCTTGAAATCTGAGGTGGCTTCCATTGACCGAAGAAGAAAGCGCTTAAAGAAAAAAGAGCGGGAAAGTAAGTGTGGGGAACTAAATTCTGCTTTTAGGGGAATAAATTGGGTGTCATCTTATTAACGTGTTAACAAGAATTAACATTTTTAGGGAGACTTGTGCCGTTAGGCGTGTGTGTGTTTTTTTTTGTTTTTTTTTTTTTTTAAAAGCACAGGTGTTATAATTTATTTCATGATCTTTAGAAGCTACATTTCAGTTGTCCAGTGACTGTGTAAGGGGGAAAACCTATTAAAAAGGCATGCTACCTATTTAATTCTATTTAGGCAGAACTATTTTATACAGAAAAATAAATTTTTCTAAGAAGTGAACAAAGTATCTATGGTTGTTAATATCTTACAACTTCTCTTCCAGTTACACAGTAATTTACTGTAGTATTGCTTGAGTGGCTAGATAGTGCTTTCCCCTTAGGATAAGTTATTTATTTTATGAGTTTAAGGGAGATCATCAATTAAATCCCTGATTTCCCTGAAGCCTTTTTACCTGTTGCTGCAGGGAATGTTCTAGTGTGCCTGCATCTAGCAACAATAAAAATTATTTTCTGCATGTCTTGTTTATGTGCACATTTAAGAGTTCACTGAGCATCAGAAGAAAGACTCAAGTGCCACACGTAGTAGGATTTTACGGCTGCAGCCATCACATGGGAATCGCAGTTGCTGCGTGGCTGCTGGAGCAGGTTGTATGGGCAGATTTGGAGCTGGGACAAAGCCCTGCCTGTGCTGATTTCCACAGGCAGGAAAGGGAACAGGTCACTGTGCTCATGGGTCAGGAGTGAGCTCTGGCATCCTCTGGCTGGGCCGGTGAGCCTGGGCTGCGCACGGCCAGAGCCGCCTCTCGGAACACGTCCCACAGATACTGGAGAACGGAGGCATCCTTCTTTTTAAATGATAGGCATTAGTTGCTGGAGTTCAGCAATGCTTGGTTTTGAACAGGGAAGCATTTTTATAGCCTCATTTGTAAATTTGTAAATTTTCATAACCTGTCTTTTCCTCTTCCTGTGCAGGTGCTGCTACCACATCATCTTCCTCCTCATCACCTTCCTCTAGTTCCATTACAGCTGCAGTTATGTTAACTTTAGCAGAACCATCTATGTCAAGTTCATCACAGAATGGAATGTCAGTTGAGTGCAGGTGACAGCAGGACTTGCCAAAGCACTTTGCACTTAATGGCTGCTGAGGGCCACTCTTTTTTTTCTTTCTTCCTTTTTTCTTTTTTTTTATACTGCACAGTGGCACAAAATTCAGACAAGCACTATTTTGTATTTAAAGTTGTTTCTTGACAAGCTAACTTTGCACTTAAGTGCACTTTTATGAAGAAAAAGTACAACAAACTGCTTTTCCTCAAGCAATAATTGTTTCCAACTTGTCTGGGAATTGTAAGTCCAGTGACTCGAAGGCCTTCCTTCCACTGTGGCAAATGGAGGCTGTTCACTGCCTGTAGAGACAGTACAATGAGCATATAGTTGTTGGGTTGATTTAAATAAATGTGGCAAGGCTTACTGTATTCCCTGGTATTTTGTTAAAGCTGGAACATTTGATATTTTTCCATTTATTTATGACAAATATTGAACCTATTTTCATTTGTACAAGCTAATTGTTTTTTAACTGCTAAGTAAGTCACCTTATAGTGGCTTTAATTGTATACGTCAAGCACATGTATTCAATTCAAAACCTGCAGTTAGTAGGATGTTTGACATCAGTCCTGATAACCAAATATGAGGATTCCTTTAAAAAGAGAAAAAAAGACTGACTAATGTTTACAGGTTTGAATTAGGCTTAAATAGATTATTCTGGGTTTTAAGAACCCAATAATTGGAATGAAACTACTGTACTTTGCCATTTTTCTATAAAACAGTATTTTTTTTTTAATTTTGATAAAATACATTATGAAAAACAAAGAAAATGGCTAACAAACTGTATTAAATCTTAATGTATAAAGATTGTATTTAGCCAGTTTAAAGTGTATATTTATTCATAATGGATTATAACAGTTATATTTTTGTGTTTTCTTGTAAATGTTTCTTTTCCCTTAAAGCAACAGATATTTCATTTGTAATGCTTATTTTATTACGAGCTTCAAAGAGAGGACTTCAAGACAGAGTTAAGGCGTGAGGTTATAATTTGTGGTTGCTGATATGAACACTGCCACAAAACGGTAGTTGTTTTTAAAATAAATAGCTAGCTGAGTGGTAGACATTTAATTTTTTAAATGCCTTGTACAAATTCCAAAACCAACTTCAAACTGTTTTCACTTGTATTGATTTTATGTTGTATGGATCCCAAGCTCTCTCCTGTTAATTATATACCTTTGTAAGACATTTGTATATTGCGGAAGTGTTCATTCAAGCTATTTAATACCTGGCACTGTTAATACACAGTACTTTATTGTACAGATTGTTTTACTGTTTTAATTGTAGTTCTGTGTACTTCTTTTGCCTGGGGAAATAGGGGCTGGCATGTTTTTCTTTGTTTTCTGGCAATACAACATGTAAGAATTCAAAGCATTTTGTTTGTAGATGCTAGAGTGTCAGAATCCTTTACATTTGACTTTTCTAAGAAAAGCATTTTCAGTCTTCGTAGTGTGTGCTTAAGGTTAACTGATTTTATTGAAAATGGTTTCAAAGTATTCAGAATTGTACAGGACTGTAAAAATTTGACAGACATTGAAGGAAAAGCTTATAGAAAAAAGCTATAAAATATATATTAGGTTCTGCAGAAAATGGAGAATTATGTAATATATTGTACAAATGTAAGCAAAGGCCTCTGAAATAAAATGCCATAGTTTGTGAATCCTTGATTTTGTTTCTAACAGTTTAATTAAGCAATAGCGTGTGCATTAAAACGACATCGATGCAGAATCAGTTTAACAAGTGATCTTTGCTATGATGTAATAAGCATATAAAGATAACCTAAGGCAGGTAAGGTGGTCTAATTTTCCTCTTAGCGATTAATTCAAATTCTTCCTCTTTTTTCAGCAGAAGGGGAAAGCTTGGCCCATTGAGATCATTAGGACAGCGATGGCTGAAAAAAAGATGAATTTTGATTCACATTAATTCATGTTGCTTGAAAACATAAAAGTGAGCTCCTGAGGATATTTGCTGACTTCTAATATCAACTGCCTCAAGTTCAGATTCAGTGGAAGTGAAACTGGAATAAAACTTTTGGTGTTACCTGTTACTTTACATCATGTCTGGCTGTAGTTCGGTTGACCAAAATACTGGTAAACCTGCAAAATTATAGATTCCTGATGAGGTTGATAAGTAACAAATGATGATAAGCTTTAGAAACATTGACTGTGTTAAAAATTACCAGTAATCTGAGGCTGACAGAAGTAATTTCAGCACGGCTTCTTGGGATATTTACATTTGTTTATTAAGCAGAATCGAAGTCATAGTAGTTCAGTTCTGCCTTTCAGTCTCAGTAGGCGTAACTGGTACTGATTTAACTGGGAATGACATCTGGGCAAGCGAGAGCAAATCAAGCTCTCCGCTTGCTACTAGTTCTTAAACAGTTCCTGGTTTCAGTGCCAGCATTTTGCTTTCACATGACTCTCACGTTCTGTGAGAGGAATTGTTTTGTTTACTTGTTTGAAACTGGGATCATTAGTCACCTCCCCGCTCCCAAATTGAGTTTTTGCATAAATAGGACTTTTGTTGTTCTTTAATACAGCAAAATGCAGAGATTATTTATTTTTTGTTGTTGTTTCTAATGCAGTTTAATGACTATTCTGGGTGTCTTATATTGCACCTCTTCTGTGAAGCATGCCTGTGAAGGGTACTCTCCAGGTTCCCGTTCCGTGCATCCCAGTGGTTACAGAGGAGGAGGGTGCCTTTGGCAAACTGTTAGCCTGGTAATTTCATCCCATGTTCCAGCGAGTCAACTCCAAGCTTCTTTTCAGGTTACATGTTGTAATGGAGCTTTAAACGTGGGTGTGCTCCCTGCTCGGCACGCACACTGTGCCTGCAGCTGAGGGTTTCCCCACTAGCAGGACTGTTGGGCTGTGCCCATGTTTTATTCCACCCGTGCCAAGAACACCGCTGACGCTGGCGGTTCAAACAGTGCATAAAACGTTACAACAGGTGTTTCTCTTCGCTTCAGCCCTGAAGCGCCTGGTAACTGTCTGTGCCTTTCCCGTTGTTACTACAGCATCTGGCATGTAAAATCACATTCTGGACAGGCAGGGCTAAAAGGAGATCCCAGTTAGGTGCCTAATTTCAGTGAGTTAGTAGCAGATCAGAATTCCTTATGCATCAGCTGCACTGCAGCCTTGGTTGGGAAATGATCCATTTGAGAATTAATCCAATAAAAAAAGGGTATTTTCCAATTTGATCAGTGGTCCAGTCCAATCCATGTAGCTGCAGCAGCAAGATGAGCCAAGAGGACTTCACTGCCTGCAGGGTGAAACTGGCTCCTCCTTTTCCTGTCCCCCAGGCTACTCTCCTGGAATCCCCCTACAAGTACTGGGTCTCAGGGATTCTTCATCAGAAAGCTCCTTGCATGAGTTACAAGCCTCCTGCAGATCCCAGGTACAGGTGGAACAATCCAGAAGGAAACTGCCCGTCCAAGTGATGCTTTGGGATGATCTTTCTGGTGGTCTAATCACTTACAGAGTGGTGAAGCAGTAACTGCTGAGCTGCCTCGGGCTCCTCTGTGCTCTTTCTATAACCGGGCACCATTTGTAACGCGTACCAAGCCTGTTCCACACCAACGAGTCACAGAAACCATTCAGTTTTGGGTGCTCCCTACACCCCTTCCCTGTTATGAATTTTGTCAAAGAGAATAGACAAAGGTTGGTCCAATAATACAATCTAAATTTATTAAGCAAGCAACAACAAGCAAAACGGCGCTGGGGGGCTGGGGAGTTCCCTGACTCCACCAACAGCACGCAAAAAGTAGTACACTATCTCATACTTATACAATAAAACAATACATATTCAGGTAACGCCTATACATATCCATTCTGTAACCCCGCCTACTCCTGCTTCCTATGTTAATATATGTTTATTAGCTTATCAGTCCTTTACGCTTGTGCAGATTCTCTTAAAAACTGTGGGTCGGGTCCTCCTGCTGTGGGCGGTGGTCTTCGGGAGGAAGGCCACAGGTCCTCCTCACGATATACTTTTCACCCTCTGCCTGGAATGTGGTGATTTGGCAAGTTTGCAGGGTCCCTATCAGTCTGAGCTAATTTGTATCCTTGCTGACCATCTACTTCTTCTCGGCAAGGGGTTTTATCAAACTCCCCCTGATGGGTGCTATGCTGTTGTCTTTCTGTTCTTTATGGTTGTTTTCTTTAGATAAGGCCAGAATGCCCCCTTATTCATGTCCCTGTAAGCCTTTGTTAGTGAGGAAAACAAGCCTTATATTTGTTAGTCTGTTAGTGTCTTTTTAAACTACATGATTTGGTGCTTTTACTCTCTAAAATCCTACATTCTAAAATTCTAAAAATATATACGTCACAAAATTAACTAAGCACAATGTGTTGAGGGGAAGGGAGGGTTGGTATGTTCTGGATGGTTTTCTTCATAAATCTTACATACATGATTACTCAATTTATCCCCCAATTCCCCCCCTTCCTTCTTGTTGTTTACTATACCGGATTATTGCAGTTTCTGCACAAACTGCTCTAGTAGCAGAATTTCTCAGTTTAATCTCCAAGCAAGCAAGCGGTTTCCAGTGAACTGCCCAACAAATAATTGAGCAGTCAAAGTTTGATTAACAAACTAAGAGTTATCCATTACATTCCCCTTTTGAATTTTCTAATCCTTTTTCCAGGTTCGTCTCCGGGTGAGGTACTACGGAAGGTGCTGCAGGAGCACCAGGAGGATGCTTTCTGCCCATGCACTTAACCGTGAGGTCACACACCCTGGTGATGGATGGGGCACCTCAACGACTTGGTTTGTGTAAAGCCTCTTCCAGAGCCCTTAGTTCAGCCTTTCAGCAGCAGTGCTGCCCAAGCATGAGGCAGCCTGGCATGGGCCACACTTCTCCCCTGTTCCCATTTAATCTGCGCTCAGAGACGACGGGAACATCTTGCACGGGCCTTAACGGGGGCTTGGGGTGATTGTGGGTTTTTTTTTCTTCTTTTTTTTTTCTTTAATATTCATCCTGGTTGTGGGTGGGACAGCAACCGTGAAGCTGCAGCCAGACGGAGAAAGGATGCTGGTAAGAATTGCTTCCACAGCAACACGGGGCAAAGAGAGTTGTTTTGAACCACGTGTGGCACTCTGAGCTACTGAAGTCATTGTAAGCAGAAACAGCTGGAGAGAAGCCCTCGTGGAATGATTTCCCGCTCCCTTCTCGGCTGGAGATGAGCACAGCAGGTGGGGCCTTGGGGGTTTCAGAGAACGAGTCGCTATCACACGATCCTTCCGTGTGCCGCA